AATTTGAAAATTTTAAATATAAATTGTATATTAATATACTTATCCTATCTCACGCGATAAAGTCCCTCCCTACCTCCCCACTACATAGATTACCACCGTTCCGGTTTTGTCCTTTTATGGCTCCAAGATCGAGAATGAGTATGTGAGGTGATCACGTGGGTGAGGACTGCGCATGCCTCGTGCTGTCATGGACTAGTGAGCACGACTGACACAGAAGGCACGCACAGCACGGGAGAGGGGCAAGGTAGGCCTTGGAGCAAAGTTTTAATTCGTTTCCACTCATGGTCGAATGAAGACAGAGAGGTGCAAGTCGTGAGATAGGATAAGTATATAAATATACAATTTATAGTTAAAATTTTCAATTTTATTTGTTCACCAGATTTTTCCCAATTTATAAACATGTTTAATGTTGGAGATCGAGTAGATTCTGATCATTTTCCTTTGGAAATGACTTGTCAATTCAGTAATGTCAACTCTAAAGTCAATGATTCAGTCAACAATGTCAAAGAAAAACTTTTTTGGAGCGATTCATTTTCAACAACATTTTTGAGTAACCTAAAGAAACTGATAACTCCTTGCTATGAACATATCCTCGAGAAACTTGATTTTGATGTTAATGGAGCTATTGATGATCTTGTTCATGTGTTATTAGACTCAGCAGATTGTATGAAGAAACAACTCAGGTCATCTCAGCACCCAAGTAAAATACAATTAAGTAAGGAATGTAAAACTGCCAGGAGAGACGCCCGTAAAACCTTGAGGGTTTTTCAGTGTAGACGAACAGACCATAACAGAAAACATTTTTGCAAAATGAGAAACAAGTATAAAGCTTGTTACAGAAAATATAAGACTGATATTTCTATACAAAAGGTGCAAAAACTTACTGACTCCATACACTCTCCTTCTAAATTTTGGAAATTGCCAAGTCCAAGATCAAACATTTCGAAAACAGAATGGCTTACTCATTTCAAGAATGTTTTCTCGAATGAATCAGTTTTTAATGGCATTGATACACAGCATGATTTTATGGACGATTTGCCTGACCCCGATAATGATTTAGATATGCATATTTTAGACACCCCCATTTCAGAAATCGAAATAAGGGAAGCTATATCTAACTTAAAGAATGGTAAATCGCCAGGTCCTGATCAAATTATAATTGAAATGATAAAATGTTCGAACGACAGAGCTTTTACCTTTTTCTCCAAAAATGTTATAATACCATATTCGAAAGTTGCATATTTCCAAAAAGCTGGTCGTGCTCAATTATAATTCCAATACACAAGAAAGGCTGTTTTGATAATCCAGATAATTATAGAGGAATCTCCTTAATGAGCATCCTTGGAAAAATATTTACATCAATATTGAATACAAGAATTACAAAATGGTCTAATCTGCATGATCTAATTCCAGAGGCTCAGGCTGGCTTCAGAAAAAACTATTCTACTTGTGACCATATATTCACCTTATACGCAATTATCCAAAATGCTTAACGCTACCGTAAACATAAATTGTATGTGGCTTTTGTTGATTTTAAAAGGCGCTTGATTCTGTTTATCGGCATAAATTATGGTTATGTTTACTTAAAGGCTGGTTTTAAAGGCAAAATGTATAATATTCTAAAATCTATGTATTCCAATATAAAATCACGCGGTAATGCGTTGTGGGGATGATACCACCGACTATTTTGATTGCCCAGTTGGACTTCGACAAGGCTGTATTTTAAGTCCAATTTTGTTCTCTTTCTTTATAAGTGAATTGTATTTTGAAATTACAAATTCATGCGTAAACATGGAATACAAATGTTTCCTGACATGATTGAAATATTAATTTTGCTATTTGCCGTCGATATTATCCTAGTATCAGATACTATTGTTGGACTACAAAATCAACTTAACATCCTAGAACGTTATACACATGATTGGAAACTGTCAGTTAATTATGACAAAACAAATGTCATTTTTAGAAGAGGAGGCCCTGTTGCAAAAAATGAGAAATGGTCCCTAAATGGAAAGTTGATTACTATTGCTAATCACTATAATTATCTTGGTGTACTGTTTACCCATACAATGAATTTCAAGAAAAGTGTTACTGATTTGACATCACGAGCCAAGAAAGCATTAATCAGCCTCATGACTGTATCCCAGAACTTAGGCGTTTTAACACTTAGTATATACTTTAAATTGTTTGATTCTCAAATTCAACCCATAATGCTATATGCCTCAGAAATTTGGGGGTTCCAAAAACATGATTGTAATGAAAAATTGCATCTTTTAGCTTGTAAAAGATTTTTATCCGTTGGTAAATCAACGCCAAATTGCATGATATATGGCGAGTGTGGTAGATACCCTCTTTTTATCAACTCAAAAATAAGATGCTTAAAGTATTGGTTTAAGATTCTCGGAATGCAAGAACGACGAATTCCAAAATTAGCTTATAATATGCTTCTCAATCTAGATAATATTGGTAAAACAACATGGGATTCACATATAAGAAACCTTTTATTTTCTCACGGTTTTGGGTTTGTCTGGTTAAATCAAACATTTGGCAATGTTGCCCTATTTCTTAACCAATTTCGAGAACAATCAATTAACATGTATCATCAAGAATGGCATTTCACATTAGAAACAAGTTCACCTTATGATCTATATAGATCCTTCAAGAGTCTCATACAACCAGAAAAATACTTATCTGTGCTAACATCCAAAAATCTCAGGCGCAATTTTATTCAGTATCGACTTGGTCTTTCAGACCTATTTGTAAATAAGGGTAGAAGATTGTCAATAGAGAAATGTTTAAGATTATGTCCTTTGTCATTCAGCCATTGAAAATGAAATCCATTTTACATTTGTCTGTCCATTTTATGTTGATCTAAGAACCAAATATATACCAGTGCAATATCAGTCAAAATATCCCGAAACTGCCTTTGTGTCAATTTTATCCTGAAATAATGAAAACGTTATTCTCCAACTTGCCTTATATGTAAAACATGCGTTATCTTTAAGAAATGAACTGCTAAGCATTGATTAACTTTATTCCTTTCATCCTTGTATTATTGTGATCATTAATATATGAATATCATGTATTCTCCTTGTATGTGGGCCGGAGGCCTTAAATACAATAAACACTTTGACTTGACTTGACTTGACTCGATAGTTCTGTGGTTCACTACAGCAAATAACAATGTATCCGATGTAAATCGGTTTTGCATTCTCTGTGTTGTTGAAGTGTTGAGGCGAACCACACAGTTTTATGCAATATAAAAGCAATCTCTAAACGTAAAACTGATTAATTTGCGTGAAACAGACACTAACTTGAACGCCATTTTGTCACAGACTACAATGATCTTAGCTCCTTACAATTGGTCCGGACCAATTTTAAGTTTCGATTGTAACTTACAATGATCTTAGCCTACAATTGCTTTGTGCAAGTGGATGGCGATTGTAGCCGAAGCCTAAGATCGCGATCTTAAGGACTTACAATAATTGTAGCGCTAAGATCGTTCTATGGAAGTGGACCCAGGGCCCTGTTTCATAAAGCGATTGTACCACTACGACTATCGTGAGTCTGTGTTAAAGTATGGGAGTTATGATTGTTTTGTGAAATGGGGCCCTGCATTCTAGTCAATCATGTTATTCTGTGTCAAAAACTGTCAGATCACATTGCCTTCTCACAACAAATGTCTAAATGTGTCCCCACATGGGCACAATGTGTGAAGCCCATTTCTGGTGTCCCCCGCCGTGATGTTGCTGGAATATTGCTAAAAGTGGTGTAAAACCAAAGTCAGTCAGTCTAAATGTGTAATTACTTCCTTCAGACCAAGCATGAAAGCTTCTTTGATTTTTTATTTTTTTTTATCTATAATTCTAAGATGCCTAGCGGTGAGAACAATCGGAAAAAAAATACATTATCAGACAATAAAGGTATAGTTTTTTGATGACGTAACAATTGAATGACGTTATCCCGTCATTGCGCCATTCTAGTGTGCCCCCTCGTAATCGAACCATTTTACATTACGTCACAATGTAAGCGACGTCACGATGCATGTCAGTTGTCATCGCCTCGTACGGCCTCCTACAGTATACTACACCGTTGCATCCAGTTTCTTGGTTTGCTGTTGCTTCACGCAGCTAACATCACTGGTGGAAACATTACCTTTATGTTTTACGACAGTTAAAATGTGTAATTTCGACTCACAAGTTTTCAGCGACACAGTAACGTTCGTAATGTTTACATTCCCACAATGCAATTGTGGAATGTCGCTTGACTACTCAACTTCCTCTGGATGTACTGATCTAAACTTACGCTGGTAGTAGAAATGCAACGTTCATATTGCCCCATATGGTTTACGTTAATGACAGATGTACTTAAAATAATTCAGAGAAGATATTTAATCCGAACGTAAACCGTCATCAAACTGTTATCATTTCTTTTTTTCTGGTAACGTTCGTCTTAACGTAGGGGGGCAGACACATCAATAGAACAGCGCGCCAGTTAGCCCTGTGCGAGGATTCTTAATTTAGGTCACCGACACCGTCGTTTGTTTTCTGCCTTAAATTAATTGCAATTATCCTTAGAAAGTATTAAATTTAGCATCTTAGAAAGATGTAAAGTTAAGCTCTACCCCAATGTGTTTTGTAATAAAGTATAGTTTTGCCCTGAACTATTATAACATCAAAGCACTAACTACTACCGTCCTCGTAGTTTTAATTATAATAGTTCAGGGCAAAACTATACTTTATTACAAAACACATTGGGGTAGAGCGAACTTTATTTCCTAATCAATCAATATTTAGTTAATGATTATTGATTCTTATGATCTACATCGATAGTCAGCCTTTATTATTACTGTAGATCTATAATCTGCTCCCTTTAGAAATTGTCAAAGGCAATTCACATTTATGTATCCTGTACTCGCAGTAATCATGGCAATATATGGTACACTTACATAGAAACTTTGTTTTACCATGTTAATCAGGTATTTTTGTATTATTTTGCAGTTTGCTGGGATTTACAATCAAACTGCTCAAGATATAAAGATGATAAATTTTGCAAACCAGGGATTGATAAGGATATCAATGAGAAAGTACCATGGTTATTTAAAAACTGCCAGAGGACTTGCATCTGTGATAGTAAGTACTAACACAATACCATGCTTTTTAAAAATGTATGGTAGGTAGAAAGAAATGGTCCAGGATACAATATTCTTGTGGCAATGTTTTTTTGCATTCAAGAATTATGTCGGTCGGTCACCCCACTTTAGCATGTATTATAACATCTTTCAAGTCATCGGGACCTAACATGAATCAGTAAAGCATACATCTTTGATGCATCAGCCATTGTCCTCTTTGACAGTTAGCAATAGATGTTGATAACATTTGGTTTGTGAATACTTGGTCATGATAGGTTGATCAGAAACCAGTCTCTCTTTCCATGTTATGTAGTTCCAAGGTAACATCATCTGTCCAGAATTTACCTTTAGGTTGCTCATAAAGATAGTTCATATCTCTGTTAAACAGAACTGACAAAAGAAAACACCACTGACAAAAACCAAGCTTGCATAACATTCCAATATGATTCGGAATGTCTACAACGACCACCAGCAGAAGAATTCAGGAACAAATGCCCATTCACCTGCTACTACTCCCGGACACCAGGTAAGATATATTGTTTCTCTTCACTAGTCAATTTGCTCCCTAAAATCAGATGACTTTGTATTTTCTACATAACTGTGAAACTGTAATCATGGTACTTTTTCTACTTTCAAATCATATATTTTAAAAGTCCATGCTTTGGGTCATGTGAGACAGTTTGATGAAGGTACTCAGCTGCGAGCTTGTATCTGAGACAAGAGAAAGGAATTACTGGTATAGATCCATCCACAACAGCATGTGGTGTTCCTTCTTGCTATGATCATAAAACAGTGTACAACAATGTAGAACATTCACCCAAACACATCCAACCACACCCTAGCATGCAACAGTTACCTAGTTATCTGTTCCTTTGCCTTAAGTGATATGCACCAATTGGAGACACAGCTGTTCGTCACAAGGGTTTCTTACTTATTTTGTTTCTGTAGAACAAATAAGTGTCACCTTTGGCTGTGAGTTTATAAACATAAATGGCTCTCAGCATTCCTCATTGTGAATTCACTTTGTGTTCTGTAAATATCGTTCTATGGCCCAATTGTAGTGGTCATTTGAATCCATATCCATTTCTAATATAAACCCTGGCTGCATTAAGCTTTTGGTTTTCTTCCATACTTATAAGCCTATCTCCGATTTTGTCTGTAGTAAAGTAGGTTCCTTCCAGAATCAGGTAGACCTCTGCTGTAACTTTGCACTGATCATTTCTAAACCTAGGTTTTGAAGAACAAGTTTCGAAACCTCATATCAGGTTAAATTTCGACAAGGTGCACACAATACATACCTCCCTCAATCGCACCTTGCAGAATTTTCATGAAAAACATTCCCAGAAATCTTTGAAGGAAACGATTACGAGACTATAGCATATATTTTTCTACATTCAAACTGTCTTGATTTATGAACTGAGAATGTGATATTGCAACCACGGAAATACCTACCCATGTTTTATGAAAATATTGACCTGCGAAAAATACATTCATAAATTTGGGTCTAGATTTAGTGACTTAATACTTATGAAAATTAAAATTAAAATATCAAATATAGACAATATTTCCTTATGATATAACACCTAAATGCATGATTTGCCAATGCCAATGGTTGTCAATGAGACATTGTTTAATGCACAGCTGTTTGGGGTTTTTTTTGTGTAAAATCCTAAATTTATCCTAGAAGTATTGGTTTTCTCACAATATAATAAGAAAATGTGATATGGCTTGACAGGAAAATACGAATATCATTCGAGAGAGCGTTCGTTAAATACTTATTCACAGTATATTAATGATATAACCCTAATGCATTGATAAATATTTTCTAAAAGTGAAATTAAAATTGAATTTTGATTTTGCACGTTAACTTGTATCTAATTTTTGATTACTTTAATGATTAACTGAGACAAAATCACTCCATGACCGAAAAGAAAATATGTTGAGCTCTGTGATTGGGCATGACAGATTCTACGGCAACGGCAAAGGCCAGGGGAAACCACTCCCATCTTACGCATAAACTAAAATTATCTGCTCTTGAGTAAATGAAAAGGTCACAGCCATTGTTAATCGCATGCGGACACCATTCGCTATTATCCTTTTCTTGATTATCAGAAAGGTATGTTGTTTCACACTTACTCCAACATTGAATCGGGTGGGAATAGTACTTTGTGATATCGACTCGATAGTTCTGTGGTTCACTACAGCAAATAACAATGTATCCGATGTAAATCGGTTTTGCATTCTCTGTGTTGTTGAAGTGTTGAGGCGAACCACACAGTTTTATGCAATATAAAAGCAATCTCTAAACGTAAAACTGATTATTTGCGTGAAACAGACACTAACTTGAACGCCATTTTGTCACAGACTACTATGATCTTAGCTCCTTACAATTGGTCCGGACCAATTTTAAGTTTCGATTGTAACTTACAATGATCTTAGCCTACAATTGCTTTGTGCAAGTGGATGGCGATTGTAGCCGAAGCCTAAGATCGTGATCTTAAGGACTTACAATAATTGTAGCGCTAAGATCGTTCTGTGGAAGTGGACCCAGGGCCCTGTTTCATAAAGCGATTGTACCACTATGACTATCGTGAGTCTGTGTTAAAGTATGGGAGTTATGATCGTTTTGTGAAATGAGGCCCTGCATTCTAGTTAATCATGTTATTCTGTGTCAAAAAACTGTTAGATCACATTGCCTTCTCACAACAAATGTCTAAATGTGTCCCCACATGGGCACAATGTGTGAAGCCCATTTCTGGTGTCCCCCGCCGTGATGTTGCTGGAATATTGCTAAAAGCGGCGGCGTAAAACCAAACTCACTCAGTCAGTCTAAATGTGTAATTACTTCCTTCAGACCAAGCATGAAAGCTTCTTTGATTTTTAAGCTGCTTCCACTTGCAGCATTTAATATTCACATTCTGTTGAATTTTTCCTAATAATTTTCAGAACTGGAAGGTTTCCTGACATCGCCTAAAAACAAGACCATTAAAGAAGGCATGAATGTTTCTTTGGAGTGCTCCATTAACAGCACAAGTCCACGGGTCAATTTCACTTGGTTCAAGAATGATATTCCAGTTGACCTTGGTAAAACAGTGCAGAACAATTCCTATACCAGTATTCTCATCATTGGGGCAGCTCTATCTGATGAGGGAGAATACCACTGTAGAGCGACCAACAGTGACTATGGACAGGTGCTATCTGTGAATAGCTCTAGGGGAATCTTGTCCATCGAAAAAGGTAAGCAGGCACAAAACTAGTGTCTCAACTAGTGTTTTGAGAATTGAACGATTTCTTTCAACAGTTTTCTTGTGTGCGTTAGAAAGTTGGCAACAAATATCATCCTGTTTATGACTGACAATTGTTCTATAATTCAAAGATTTCTCGCCACAAAAGTGATGGGAATCAAGTTTCATATGTCTCTTAAAAAGTGTCCCAATATTTGCCCATCATGAATGTACGATGTAACAAATGCACCTTTTTGATTGTCATTTGCAAAAAGAGCACATGGTAAGTAAACGACGCCATCTTTTGAAGGAGAATATCTCAGCCAATCATTGGTATTAAGATGTGTTGGATTAATTTTCTGTTTTACACCTCTAATTTCCGTTTAAGGATATTTTAGTGTTTTGTCAGCCCTTACATCTGTTGAATGTAAATGTTTCAGGAGAGTAGACCGAATTTGTTCTGATTTTAGTTCACTTTCTCTGTACCAGCCAATATCAGTACCAGAGAAACTGTAAGATAGTTTTGGTGAATTTGATGCTAGTGAAGTCTTACAAGTTGCACCTTCTTCCTTGACAGAGCACGAAAAACAGTTATTGGAATTCGTGTTAGTTCAACTAGCAGATGGAACCTCTGTTTCTGACTGCAATTTTACAATAAAAGAATCAATTGTTTTACAGTTCTCACTTTTAAACTTTTTACTCATGATATTTCCAAAGGAGACCAAATGACTGATAATTTAATCTCATTTGTTATCTATATTAACTGTAGTTTCCTAAACGTTAATTTGTTAAGATACTTGTATTTTGATGCGAATATATTTTAACAACTTGACAATACGGCGTAAGTGTTTGGTCTGACACAAGTAAAACACGCAAATGCCACAAAACTAAATATAACATATTTTTCCTTATCCTGACTCATGCTCTTTTGCTTGTCTCCTTCCTCTTGCGAACGTTAGTGGAACACTTGTATCTCCTATTGAAGCTCCCTTCAATAAAAACAGACGTAAAATCCCTACTCACCACGAGTTAACTGTGTGGCCGTTTTGGCGGGAAAGCGGCGCCACCGTACTCCCATGCTTCACTCTCTCTCCTTCTCCCTCTTTGGGCAGGTTGTGAGAGTGCCTGTGTCTCCTATACGGCACTATATCCTTTAATTACTTAGTTATTCTCCTCTATACTACTTTTATAGAGGTTTAGTTAGTATTCTTCAACAATATGGTTTGATATTTAATCGTATTTAGCACTGTTTATTCACGGAATTGTCCGTGTTTGTTCAGTTGTGTACATTTCATGAAAACCTATTTTCGTTGTAGGTTTAGGTTCGCTGCTGCAAACCCGCATTGACTGTCCCCTAGCTGCACAACAACATGTATTTCCAGCTATAGCTGTAATCTTTATCAGCATTGAACAGAAATTCAATTTAATAAATAATTTTTTCTCTGTACTTAGATGCACTACCGACAAATCCAGGTGACTTTACAAGTCATGGATAAACTGGCTGAGTCCCTCACGAGCTGTCTACTGCTGTCAGACGACTTACTACCATCAAGTGACCTGCCGGAGGTGTCCTCGGAGGATGGGCGTGGGATGTTGTCCGCCATTACTTCGAAGACGTTGGCTTCTACATCGGACAACCCCTCAACGCAGACGAAGAAGAAGCCATCCTCTACGCAGAATGAAGCCTCACACCCCTACGATGCCTAGAAGCTCTACAGGGACTCCTGGCGCGAGACTACAGGGACCTTTTCGCAGACATCGCCCCGATGGCAGTGAGATGACTTCATGATGAGCCGCTGCTGATCATCCAAGAGATACAGCACGCAGTCCGAGGGCGACAGATGAGCCGCATCCCTGGACCATATCGCTATCAACGCAGAGAGGGCAGCTCTACAATCTTCGCGAGATCTAAGAAAAGAAGCCATCCTCTACCCAGAGAAGGCTACACACCCCTCAGATGACGCACCAACTCTACGGGACGCCTGCGCAGACTACAAGGACTTTCTCAGCCGAGATTGTCCCGATGACGGAAAGAGGACTCTATGATGAGCCGCTCATCATCCCCGACATCACCAGTAGAAGCGGGCCTCAGCAACGGTAACGTCAGCACAGTTGTCTACACAGTCCGAAGTATCTACACTGACGGCAGATGAGAGATCCCTGGGCCATATCGCTACCAAGGCAGAGAGGGCAGCTCATCTCTCACCGCAGACATTCAACCCAGGGACTTCATGCAGCCCTGGAGATGATGGAGAGGCTTTCACACTGAGAAGAGCATCGCATGATCAACAACCAGCCCGCAGAACGGACCCGACCTTCGCGAAGGATCAAATGCAGACGATGCTTCAGAGAGGCCCTCCAGCTACGTGACGACCGGGAACAGATCTACGCTTCAGGTCGTCAACCAGCCTGTGCGAAGGACGACACGCCTATCCCCAGATGCCGAATCAGATGATTAGCATTCGCGAAGGCACTCGAGAAGGACGACATGCCTATACCCAGATGCCAAATCAGATGATCAGCATTCGCGAAGGCACTCGCGAAGGACTTCGGACACAGCCTCAAAGACATCTTCAACATCGCATAGATCGTCAAGGGATTCACCGAGGCATTCGCGAACCAAGAGATGCTCACCTCCACGCAGGTCTCCCCGCAGGTCACCTTACAGATGCAGTTCACCCGGCTCCTCTCCATGCTGATCTCCACGCAGGTCTCCACGCAGGTCTCCACGCAGATCCCCAGCGAAGCAGAGACATCGCAGTACTTAGTCTCTCAACTGAACGCTACATGCCGTCAACAAGCTTGCGCGGCGGCATTCGGCAAGAGGCCATCTACAACGCCGCCAGAGTACTTAGATTCTCAACAGAACGCTACATGCCGTCACCGAGCCTGTGCAAAGGCATTCGCACAGGCCATCTACAAAGCAGAGACGTCGCAGTACTTAGCTTCTCAACAGAACGCTACATGTCGTCACCGAGCCTGCGCGAAGGCATTCGCACAGGCCATCTACAACGCAGAGACGTCGCAGTACTTAGCTTCTCAACAGAACGCTACATGTCGTCTACAACTTGCGCGAAGGACGGCGCTATCTTCAGAGATAATGAGCCTAATAACAGATGATGAGCCTAATAAAGGATCTTCAGGCCGACTACCTACATCAAGGCATCAACGACGCCTCGCTGACCATTTCGGAATATATTGCCAGGAAGGCAATCCCGGACTACGAGACGATTACCTACACGTTCAAGAGGGGTACTCTTGTCCGAATTCATCACCGGCACGGATCTTCAGACTGAATCCAGGACGGGATTCACATAGATTGATATATCTACTTTAGAAGACTCATGGCCTTATAGAGATCTTCACTTCCGTACAGATCTGCAGATATTCTCACTGGCGTGGTTCAACAGCAGCCTTGCTAAGGCTAGGTAACTACATACTCGTCACCGATTCCCTGAGTAGAATTTCCAACAAAGTTCAGCATTAATTCTACAATTACGACGCTTCATTGAGATAGATGTATGCAGTCTACAAGAGCAGCACTGACAACGTGCAGATTTCAGCTGATCATCTGTATAAAGGGCGACGACATTATCTTCAGGACTGAAGTAACAGTCACAGCAGCCAGGAAAACAGCCTACCTACATCAGTATTACGCTAAAATATTTCGCTGGTTACCATTCAACCCTCGATACACGGGTCACTGTAACTCTGGAAGGCTACGGACAAGACCGAGGTGATCAGATATCAACGGCGGCACTAGATTCTACAAGGACCTTTTTCCTGCTACACCGGTGACGCCACAGCCGCAAGCCAAAGGAATCAAAATGCTTTATTTTTATTGGACCACGAGAGACAACGACCTGCGCAGAGGTCGGACGTAGTTCACAGGTCAAGAAATGGGTTACTAGTGACAACAACCTGTCAGCGAGAGAGGAAGGCCTCAATTACAGTCCAGTTAGACGGGACCTCATTGGATTTGGCTGCCTTCACGAGGTTAGAGACCTTCCCGTCATCATTGAAGACGATTCATCAGTCGGCTTGCAGCAACATACGCTATCGGACTTTGGGTGACGGCAGCCAGACGACTTTATATAGACTTCACAACGATCGCAGTCACAGAGTCGGACATCGCTTCATTTCCCTTACGAACACGGCAAAGGTTTCAAGATCGTAGGATATAGATACAAGTCCTTGTATCTCAAGCACTACTCTCTCCGCTATTACTACGGTGGCAGAGTCTGTTGGTTCCTCTCTCACGCCAGCACAAGACATGACACGCAGAGGGAGTCTACAACTACCCACTACAGGTCTTCGTGAATGTACAAACTGACCATCCGACTCCTTCGACTCCCGGACAGATTAAATCCATATCCAATATGGTGGACTCAGAGATCGGATGGTCGCAGACGCACCTATTTAGCAGAGCCGGAGTACAAGACGCATCTCTATGTGGACGAATCTCTCCAAGATTGGGGAGCACACCTCGACAGCGATGTGTCAGCTGGGATATGGACCATAGCAGAGAAGATCTGCACTTCCACATGCTGGAAATGAAAGCAGTGATAAATGCCATACTCCACTGGACCAGCATTTTGAAGAATGCTCATCTGAGGGTACATACAGTCACCTCCACAGTGGCGTTCTACATCCACAGAAGGATCAACAAGGTCGGCGAACCTTCTGGACCTCTGCTTTCAACTGGTCAGCATAACAGTCAACCTGAATGTCCACATCAGAGCATGCCACATTCCAAGAGCCAAGAATGTGATAGCAGATGCACTATCCTGTCAAACACAGCCATTCTCAACAGACTGGATGCTACATCCAGAGATCTTCAAGCAGATCATACAAGAGATGGGAGCACCATTAATAGACCTCTTCGCCACAAGGGTCAACTGATAACATTCGCCCCACCAATACCAGATCCATCGGCATGGGCAACGGACACGCTAAGCATCTCCTTGTAAGGACTAAACGCTTACGCGTTTCCACCACCAGCTCTAATACCGAGGGTGTTGCAGAAAATCAGTCAGACGAGAGACCTCCAACTACTTGGGGCACGCCTTACTGCCCAGCGAGAATATGGTTCCCTATTCTCATACAAGACCTAGGACTGCCTCACCTGCAACTACCAGAGTGGACGAATCTACTAGTACATCCTCACACAAAGCAGGCGCACGGCAACCCAGAGGTGTTCCGGCTACACGTGTGGACTGTATCAAGGCATGCTTGAACAAGTGAGGATTTTCCGCCAGAGCAGCGACAGCAGTCACACTAGCTTTACGCAAGTCTACACGCAACTTGTATGACGACAAGTGGCGACGCTTCGAGACATACGCTTCGAGGACCAGCTTCACAGCCATGAAAGCGACACATCCTCAAGTGGCGGACTACCTTTGTCACCTAGACAAACGAAGCGGTTAAAAGGGTCAACACTCTCAACAACCTAGCGGCATTGAGGTCAGTTATCGCCATGAGGACGTGTGCAACTGACGAAAGGACCAGAGTTACTGGCCTTACTATGCCCTTTTAATTGGAGGACCAACAACAGAGATTTAAAGCTCCGGTGTGGGACCTCAACGTAGTTCTACGACATCTCACTAGTGACATCTACGAACCATTATAGAGAACATCATTCGAGTTCTTGACGCAGAAGACGCTGTTCCTGATAACCTTAGCAACAGCAGCAAGGATGTCGGAAATACATGCTCTGGACTTCGAGAGAACACGATTTGATGAAAATCAAAACATCGTGCATATGGGACTGAGATGGGACTTCATAGCAAAGAATTAACTGCCAGGTCATCCAGCCAGACAGTTCCACGTCCCAACACTATCATCAGTCCTTGGACCACAGGATACGCAGGACCTATCCTTGTGCCCAGTGAGAGCATTGAAAGTCTACCTACAAAGATCCAGGTCCAGGAGACGGAAATTCAAGCGTCTTTTCGTCTCGATATCGACAGCGACACAGACGGAGGTCTTCCACACTAAGATATCAATCTGGATCAGAACTGTCATACTACGGGCCTACAAAGCAGCAGGATTTGATCCTCCAAGAGCCTCCAACCCACATGAAGTTAGAGCTCTGGCGTCAACGCTCGCTCTACATGGGAATCGCTCTATCTAGACGATAATGGAGGGCTGCTTCTGGAAATGGGACATGGTGTTTGCCAACCACTACCTGAGGGACATTGCCACCGAGGACGGCTCTGGCATTCACCATTTCGGCCCACTTGTTGTAACACAACAATTGACAGCCCCACAAAGGCGCTGAGACGGAGTCTCGCCCCTTTTATCACATGACTTGCAAAAGCCTACACTCTGGAGATTTCAGCTTTAGAGTCTATATGCACGTCTAGGACAGACTAGCATAAGTGATATGACCCAGTACTTGTAAGGACATACTGCACACAGGAAAGGGTCGCTTCTCCACTTGATGCTCGCATCAAGAGATGGAGTTGCAAAATCCACATGAAATGTTAACAGAAGCAAGTACCAAAAGTTAACAATTGTGGTCCCCCCATCAGAGAAAGCTGGAAGTGAAGGGTTACAGCAGCAGCAGAGCCTAGCAGTAAAAGAAGTGCTACCATGAAGTTCCCATAGGGGTATGCAAGACGTAAATCACTACATGAAATCCAGAAGTAGCTTGACCCACCACCAAATCCGTCGGATTCTACAAGCAAAAGAGCATGAGTCAGGATAAGGAAAAATATGTAATTTTCTGAATAAAATTGATATTTTATACTTATCCTGACTCATGAGGTAAGCCCTCCCAACCTCCCGCTAGACACTTTGGATTTCCCTGTAAATTAAAGTGTTGGTCTCATAATTCGGAGAGAGTGACGCATGGGAGTACGGTGTCGTTGCTTTCCCGCCAAAACGGCCACACAGATAACTCGTTGTGAGTAGGGATTTTACGTCTGTTTTTATTGAAGGGAGCTTCAATAGGAGATACAAGTGTTCCCCTAGCGTTCGCAAGAGGAAGGAGACAAGCAAAAGAGCATGAGTCAGGATAAGTATAAAATATCAATTTTATTCAGAAAATTACATATTTTTCACTTCTATAAACATTGTACAAGTGATTGTGTGTGATTGGATAAAATCGTTTTCGTGAAGAACAGTGCATTCTGACGACTGTCACCAGTAAAATAGAGAAACATTTCACAAGAACCTCAATATATCTCTTATAAATGCTTTTATTGAAGTTCAAAGTGTAAGCACATGCTTTTTGTACTACATGGTAGCTTATAAGGTTGGTGAAGAAGTCTATATGTCTAATGTGAGGCTCTTTTTGTTGCAGGGCCTACTACAATCTTAATCAGTATCCTGGTGCCGGGAGGGCTGGTGTTTCTGGTTGTGGTGGTGGTGGTGGTGGTGTTTCTGGGGGTGCTGAAGTCCAGGAAGCACAATGAGAATAATAATGAGCAAAAAGAGCACATGGTGAGCAAACGACGCCATCTTTTGAAGGAGAATATCTCAGCCAATCATTGATATCAAGATGTGTTGGATTAATTTTCTGTTTTACACCTCTAATTTCCATTTAAGGATATTTTAGTGTTTTGTCAGCCCTTACATCTGTTGAATGTAAATGTTTCAGGAGAGTAGAACGAATTTGTTCTGATTTTAGTTCACTTTCTCTGTACAAGCCAATATCAGTACCAGAGAAACTGTAAGATAGTTTTGGTGAATTTGATGCTAGTGAAGTCTTACAAGTTGCACCTTCTTCCCTTGACAGAGCACCTAAAAACAGTTATTGGAATTCGTGTTAGTTGAACTAGCAGATGGAACCTCTGTTTCTGACTGCAATTTTACAATAAAAGAATCAATTGTTTTACAGTTCTCACTTTTAAACTTTTTACTCATGATATTTCCAAAGGAGACCAAATGACTGATAATTTAATCTCATTTGTTATCTATATTAACTGTAGTTTCCTAAACGTTAATTTGTTAAGATACTTGTATTTTGATGCGAATATATTTTAACAACTTGACAATACGGCGTAAGCGTTTGGTCTGACACAAGTAAAACACGCTAATGCCACAAAACTAAATATAACATTTTTTTCACTTCTATAAACATTGTACTAGTGATTGTGTGTGATTGGATAAAATCGTTTTTGTGAAGAACAGTGCATTCTGACTACTGTCACCAGTAAAATAGAGAAACATTTCACAAGAACCTCAATATATCTCTTATAAATGCTTTTATTGAAGTTCAAAGTGTAAGCACATGCTTTTTGTACTACATGGTAGCTTATAAGGTTGGTGAAGAAGTCTATATGTCTAATGTGAGGCTCTTTTTGTTGCAGGGCCTACTACAATCTTAATCAGTATCCTGGTGCCGGGAGGGCTGGTGTTTCTGGTTGTGGTGGTGGTGGTGGTGGTGTTTCTGGGGGTGCTGAAGTCCAGGAAGCACAATGAGAATAATAATGAGCAAAAAGAGCACATGGTGAGCAAACGACGCCATCTTTTGAAGGAGAATATCTCAGCCAATCATTGATATCAAGATGTGTTGGATTAATTTTCTGTTTTACACCTCTAATTTCCATTTAAGGATATTTTAGTGTTTTGTCAGCCCTTACATCTGTTGAATGTAAATGTTTCAGGAGAGTAGAACGAATTTGTTCTGATTTTAGTTCACTTTCTCTGTACAAGCCAATATCAGTACCAGAGAAACTGTAAGATAGTTTTGGTGAATTTGATGCTAGTGAAGTCTTACAAGTTGCACCTTCTTCCTTGACAGAGCACGAAAAACAGTTATTGGAATTCGTGTTAGTTGAACTAGCAGATGGAACCTCTGTTTCTGACTGCAATTTTACAATAAAAGAATCAATTGTTTTACAGTTCTCACTTTTAAACTTTTTACTCATGATATTTCCAAAGGAGACCAAATGACTGATAATTTAATCTCATTTGTTATCTATATTAACTGTAGTTTCCTAAACGTTAATTTGTTAAGATACTTGTATTTTGATGCGAATATATTTTAACAACTTGACAATACGGCGTAAGCGTTTGGTCTGACACAAGTAAAACACGCTAATGCCACAAAACTAAATATAACATTTTTTTCACTTCTATAAACATTGTACTAGTGATTGTGTGTGATTGGATAAAATCGTTTTTGTGAAGAACAGTGCGTTCTGACTACTGTCACCAGTAAAATAGAGAAACATTTCACAAGAACCTCAATATATCTCTTATAAATGCTTTTATTGAAGTTCAAAGTGTAAGCACATGCTTTTTGTACTACATGGTAGCTTATCAGGCTGGTGAAGAAGTCTATAATTTTTCCTTATCCTGACTCATGCTCTTTTGCTTGTCTTCTTCTTCTTGCGAACATAGTGGAACACTTGTATCTCCCTAATTGAAGCTCCCTTCAATGTAAAATCACTAATTAGTACTCACCAAGAGTTGCTTCCCTTTCCGAAATGCGAGGGAAAGGAGGCGCCACCTCTTCCCACATGCTTCACTCTCTCCTTCTCCGCCCAGTGAGCAGGATGTGAGAGGGCCTGTGTCTCCCTACACACTATATCCTTTGATTATTCTTATTTAGTTACCTCTTTTAGTCATCTATAGAGGTTTAGCTAGTATCCTTCAACATTATGTATTGATATTTATTCGTATTTCTGCTGTTTATTCACGGGACGCCATGATTGTTCAGTAGTTTACGTTGATGAAAATCTGTACTGTTTGCAGGTTACTTTTTTCTGCTGCTGATCCGCATTTAATATGCCCTAGCTGTACTGCACCATGTTCATTTTCTTCACATTGCAGTTACTGTAATAATTTGTCTAATTCTGGTTTTAACAAATATTTACTTTGCGTTTTGAGACGCGCAGCAGATAGGTCACATAAGCAGAGTCTAGCCATGGCTGATACATCTGAACCCCTCGCCAGTCAACTGCTGTCGGACTGACCCTCCCGTCCTGGTGTTCGCTAGAGTTACCCGAGGAGAGGCGTGGGATGCTGTCCGCCGTCTCCAAGAAGCGTCCTGCATCCCCAGACATCCCTTCGTCGCAGCCGAAGACTAAGAGGGCTTCTACTTCCAACTCAACGCAGACTCCGCACCCCCAGGGCAGCGTCTACCTCCAAGGGGAAATCGGCCAGAAGTCTACAAGGACTTTCTCAGCTGAGATTGTTCCCGCCGCAGAACTGGGCCTGTATGATGATCAGCCGATCATCATACCTGATGTGCATCACGAGAAACGACCAGTGTCGGCAACACTGACGTCAGCGCAGATCTACACACAGCTTGATGTACTAACGCTGATGTCTGACGATCTTCCTGAGGGTCCCGTCGCTACCAACGCAGATAGGGCAGCAACTACATCTTCGCGGACCGTCCCAGACGACCTGGTTCTTCAGATTATGAAGATGATGGAAGACCGCTACGGACTGGAGAGACAACCAGCCCAGAGCCTGAGCCTGAGCGAAGGCTCCAACGTAGACGTCACCCCAGAGGGACTCCCCGTCAACGTAGCGGCTGCTACCAAGTCATCGCTGAGGAACCCACCTGCGCGAAGGACGTCACAGCCCACCTCTGCGAAGGACCCAGATGTTCAGCGTTCGCGCTCGCCGTCGCGAAAGCCTTCGCGAAGGACATCTAGATCGTCACCTACCTCGGACTCCGATGATCAATGCTCACGAAGAGGTTCGCGAAGGAAGATCCTCTCATCCCCGGACTCTGACTCGGACCCCCAGCCTTAGCGAAGGTCAAGTCGTCACTCCCCAGGACCGGACTCAGATGAAGCTTCGCGAAGGTCTTCGCGAAGGGCACCAGTTACAGGCTCCAAGTCATTTTCGTCTAGAAGGTCAACAAGGGATTCCCCAAGAGCTTCGCGAAGGTCACCATACAGACGCAGCTCGCCAGGCCGTTCTCCATGTCGATCTCCCTACCTCCGATCGACCCGATAACAACGGTCCCACAGAATCTGGACACAGCCTTCCATAAAGCCACTAAAGCCCAGGTGCCGCACTTACCACAGTTCAACGCCAAAAAGTTCTCAGCCCATAATATTGACCCATTTTTCAGGGCACAAGAAATCGACGATAACTTCAAAGTCATCAACGATGCCAAGACTAAGACGTACAAGATAGACGACCGCAAGCTGGTTCAGATCGAAACCATGACAAGAAGAATGTTCTTCGGCCTTAAAAGATCAAGAACGATTAATGAAACTCTCATCACCAGATTTCGAGATTCTACATCAGAAGACGACAGAATGATATACTCGCCCTCCTTATGCAGAAGAAGGACCAGCAGTTTTTAACGGATCATCTTACATCAGTCTCCTCGCGCGCTAACTCTGGCTCGTCGTCAAGGTCTCCTCGCTTCCTGCAGTTGGGGTGAACAGTTCACATCTTCACTCTACACAGCCTCGTTGTCTCACGCGTCAATCTTCGCTGGAGGAATAGATAAAGTCTCTAAAGAAGTCACCAAGGATTCAAGGGAAGTCCTTATGATAAAGTCGATGGACACGCTAGCTAGCGCATCAGGCAGACATCACAGAGATATTCAGGAAGATCAAAGTTTAATGGCTTACAGAAAGCACGGACAGGAAGATGGCGGTTCAAGAGGAGAAAAGATTCTTTTAAAGTAAGCCCATACGGCAACTGCAGGGGAGGATCTGGAAGAGGCAGGGCACCCAGAGGCTCCTCGCAACTATAAACGATGAAAGACGGGTTCGAACGACTGGAGTCTTCCACCCCAGCTGTTCCAGTACAACCATCACAAGTGGGTGGGCGCCTTCAACTGCACTGGGAGAACTGGGGAATTCTACAGGATCCATATGTCTCCAACATCCTACAACAGGGATATCGAATCCAACTACAGGCCACGCCCGGCTACAGTCAACCCTCACAAGTTCGACTTCCAGGCCCAACAACTACCAAAGTTACGAAGCTGTTTCATCTCTCCTAACCAAGCAGGCCATAGAAGTACTGGATCAAGTAAACATCGAACCAGGCTTCTACTCCCCAGTTTTCCTAGTGCCCAAGAAAAACTCCAAGGAAAAGTTCCGACTCATCTACAGCATGAGCACGTTCAACAGAGATTATCTACGCAAACCGCCAACGTTTCGCATGATACATCTACCTCAACTACTGCACCTAGTTCGTCCCATGGACTACATGGCCAGTATAGGTCTGCAGGATGCTTATCTACATATCCCGATACATCCCGAATCCAGGAAATACCTACGGTTTACACTAGACGGGCTGCATTACCAATGGAGAGTACTGTCATTTCGAATATCATCGGCCCCCTGGTTGTTCACAAGAGTAACGAAACCTATCGTCAACCTCAACGAAACCTCAACGCGTACGCGGTTCCGCCGCCAGCGCTAATTCCAAAGGTGTTACAGAAAATCAGACAAACGCAGAGCCTCCAACTGATTTTGGTCGCGCCCTACTGGCCAGCGAGGACGTGGTTTCCCATTCTAATTCAAGAAATCAGACAACCAACACTACAACTACCAAAGCGCTCGAATCTACTAGTACATCCTCACACCAAACAAGCGCGCGGAAACCCAGAAGCATTCCAACTTCACGTATGGACTGTATTAAAGTGTGTCTAAACAAGAGAGGTTATTCAGCCAGAGCGCGAAAGCAGTCACGCTTTTGCTTTATCGCAATCTTCATGCCAAGCAACTTGTATGACGACAAGTAGCACAGTTTTGAAACATACGCTGTTAAAAAGGGATTTACAGCTAGAAATGCTACTCATCCACAAGTGGCTGACTACCTTTGTTACCTACGACAAACTAAACGTCTAAAAGGCTCAACATTGTCAACATATTTTGCAGCTCTAAGTTCTGTGATAACTATGAGAACGGGTGTCAAGCTAACGAAAACGCCAGAGTTACTGGCCTTACTACGTTCATTCCAATTGGAGGATCAGAAACAGATTTCGCGCTCCAGCATGGGATCTAAATGTAGTGCTCCAACACCTCACAAGTGAGGCCTATGAACCACTGGAATCAGCATCGTTTGAATTTCTGACACAGAAAACATTGTTCCTGTTATCCCTAGCAATGGCAGCCAGGATGTCAGAAATTCACACTCTAGATTATGAGAGAACACGTTTCGATGACAATCAAAACATAGTGCGTATGGGACTGCGATGGGACTTTATCACCAAGAATCAATTGCCAGGTCAACCAGACAGATTATTCCATGTCCCTGCACTTTCCTCAATTCTCGGACCTCATGATACGCTTGACCTATCATTATGCCCAGTGAGAGCACTCAGAATCTATCTACAACGATCCAAAACGAGGCGACGACAACTCAAGCGGTTATTCACCCCTCTATCGACAGCGACTCAGACCGAAGTCTCTCGTACCACGATATCGATATGGATCAGAACTGTCATACTTCGTGCCTACAAGGCTGCAGGACTCGACCCTCCAAGAGCATCTAATCCAAATGAAATCAGAGCACTGGCTTCGACACTCGCTCTACACGGAAATTGCTCGTTGAATACCATTATGGAGGGCTGCTTTTGGAAAATCCGACATGGTGTTTGCTAACCACTATCTGAGAGATATCACCACTGAGGACGTCTCAGGTATTCACCATTTCGGTCCCATGGTCCTCGCACAGCAGTTGACAGTCCCTCGTAGACGATGAGACATAGTCTCACAAGATTATTCTGTATATATCATACCAGTATTATCTAGCTTATAACTCTACAGAGTTTTGTGCTAATTATATACATATCTTAAGTCTACATTAGTCTTAAGCCCAGTACTGATGTTACATGTACATTGGGTCGCTTCTCCACTTTGGAGTCGCTTTTATACTATTATTATTATTATTATCATATTATCTAAATATTGTAGTACCCCCATCTATGGCAGCTGGTAGAACTTATGTATTATAGCAGCAGGAATTATCTTATTTGCAGTGCCATTATGAAGTTCCCGTAGGGGGTTATTACATATATAAATCACTAATTATTTAAATCCAAAGTATTCTGTGTCCCACCTCCGTTTCCGTAGGATTCTACAAGCAAAAGAGCATGAGTCAGGATAAGGAAAAATATGTAATTTTCTGAATAAAATTGATATTTTATACTTATCCTGACTCATGAGGTAAGCCCTCCCATCCTCCCCACATAACACTTTGGATTTCCCTGTAAATTCAAGTGTTGGGCTCGTTAAACAGGAGAGAGTGAAGCATGTGGGAAGAGGTGGCGCCTCCTTTCCCGTGCATTTCGGAAAGGGAAGCAACTCTTGGTGTGTACTAATTAGTGATTTTACATTGAAGGGAGCTTCAATTAGGGAGATACAAGTGTTCCACTATGTTCGCAAGAAGAAGAAGAAGACAAGCAAAAAAGCATGAGTCATGATAAATATAAAATATCAATTTTATTCAGAAAATTACATTATCTAATGTGAGGCTCTTTTTGTTGCAGCTTAATCAGTATCCTGTTGCTGTTTCTGGTGGTGGTGGTTGTGGTGGTGTTTCTGGGGATGCGGAAGGTGCTGAAGCCCAGAAAGCACAATGAGAATAATAATGACTATTCACTTGCTGCATTCAAGGAAATTGACACACCATTTATCCCAAAAAGTGGTTACAAACGGATGGATGAAGATCTTCCATTCTGTATCCCTTGTCATGACAGAATCACAGTCAAGCATGTCTTCTTTGGCTATTGATTATTCCATCACAGGGTATATAGTTTGGCATGAAATGCATGTGGACCCGTTTTTTGTAAATATCTCTTCATCCAATGACCCAATCGATCTCAAACTGTGCAAGTGGATGTTTTGTCAGACAACCTAATCACATTGTAATCACCGATTTTATGCATTTGTATTAAAGAGTCTGTCTATGTAACTGTCAACAAAATAAACAGCAGAACGCAGACTGCTTGCAGAGGGAGGGAGCCAATGACCTGTAACAGCGGCAGTGTTGGGTCATAAAGGTAAATGCACGTGCAGTTCATGATAGTTACCTGTGCACTGCACAGTGATAGACCGTTTGGATCATTCACATTGACTACTTCTAGCTGTCATCATGAAAGCTTATTCAGATGATGCTAAACGTTTAATTAGAAATGTGTTGAATTTTTTTTTTAAAGAAAGCAAACGTAGCAAACCGATTTATAAGGTGTCGGATTACATGAAACGCATAAACTTTTGCTCTTGGCATGAAAAGAACATCGTGCTAAAAATTGTGAAAAATAAACCAACAACCAATAAACAAAACCTTGTACAAAAAGGTAGGCATCCAAAGTTAGATTCTTTTGACATCAGGGTCATCAGAGATGTCATTCGCGGGCTATTTGCTAGAAATGAACACCTTGCCACAAGAAAGTTAAAACACATCCTTGCAGAGGATCACGACATTAATGTTTCTAGGTTTATGCTAAGCAAACTACTGCTCAAATTTGGACAAGTACAAGAAGGTAGCAAACCAGAAACTTGTAATGTGTGAGAGATCTGATATTGTGAAAATAAGGTGTAACTATCTGAGAGAAATTAAGCAGGCAAGAGAGGATGGGTTCGAACCCATATATCTGGATGATACCTGGGTCAATGCAAACCATACTGCTGCCAGACAGTGGCTACCCACTGATCCCAGTGATGGTAGGAAAATACCAACAGGCAAAGGTGAACGTTTAATCGTTCTTCATGCAGGTTCCCACCGTGGATTCCTACCTGGGTGTGATCTGGTATTTCGGTCAAAGAGCACAGATGGTAGGGACTATCATACAGAAATGAACTCAACGGTTTTCACACAGTATGTTGAGGAACAATTGTTGCCAGCTCTGCCTTACAAAAGTCTTGTTGTCATGGACAATGCTCCCTATCACAGTGTTCGAGATCCAAACAATAGGTGCCCAACTTCCAATACATGGAAGTCAGATATGCAGTAATGGCTAACAAATAACAATATACAATTTTCAATTAAGGCCACTAAACCACAGTTGTATTCTTTGATTAAACCTAACAAACCTCCACCCACATATATAATATTGACAACATGCTACCCAACACGCCATAAGGTCTTGAGATTACCACCGCACCACTGTGATCTCAACCCAATCGAACTTATCTGGGGAGACCTTTAAAAGTACAGTGGCCCGAAAAATCAATCATTCAAGTTGAATGATGTCAAGCACATTGTCAACACTGCTATATGTGACATTGACATTGCACGCTGGCATGCATGTGTTGAACATGTCAAGAAGGTGGAGAAAGAGTACTGGCTCAAAGATGGCTTTGAAGGAGCAAACAGTTAATCCAGTTGTCATTCGTCTGGACACTGATGACTCTCTGTGGAAGAGAATGGAGTGAACTTGATGAAGTTTAATACTGTTATTATATTTACAGATAATAATAGTATCCAGCCAGATATGCTCAAAGAAATATGACTTCTTTTAACAATGACAGCACTGACTAATTCCAACGACTTATAGTGTAACATGAAACACTCATTTCACATAAAATTATCATGAAAATATAAATATTAACTATCTATATGCTTAAAGCTATTAGAAATGCATTGCTTAATTTGGAATGTGAACCATATCAAAACATAACACTTTTGTCTTCATTCTATCTTTTCTTCAATGAGTGTGCATGATTGTGTGTGCTTGTGTCTGAGGGAACCGGGCTTTAACAGTTGTTGAGTTCTAACCATAGGTGGTCCGATTAATGATTTAGTGTAAATATACTTTCTGTGTTTTTTAAATGCATTTCCACTTAGGTACTGCATAAACAAAATATGACATTAACATTACAAATTTAAAGATTTTAACCTACAGAATAATTCTCACTAATGGGTTTTGTGGTTAATGTTGAACAACTCAGAGAAACAAACTCCGTATGATGGTTAACAGTTGGCACCCACCTTACCTTATTCACGACCTGTGACACCTCTTCATACCTGTCTCGTGCATAGCTGACCTACATTGACGAACGTTGACCATTATGACCTAACACTGCCGCTGTTACAGGTCATTGGCTCCCTCCCTCTGCAAGCCGTCTGTCTTCTGCTGTTTATTTTTTTGACAGTTACATAGACAGATTCTATAATACAAATGCATAAAATCGGTGATTTACAATGTGATTAGGTTGTCTGACAAAACATCCACTTGCACAGTTTGAGATCGATTGGATGAAGAGATATTTACAAAAAACTGGGTCCACATGCATTTCATGCCAAGCTATAGTATTTCATATCATCTTTTTGAAAATGTGGGTCATTTGGTGTTGTTAAACTTAAAATATTTTTACATTCCAAATCTTTGTTGTGTCTTCTTGTGTATAGTGATATCTCTTTCTGGTAACTGGTATATAAATCTGTGATTCGTCTACTTATTTTTATTGCCTTTTGTAGACAGGTTTTTAACCGAAAAAATGTATTTTGTATTGGTAGTCTTTAATTTTCAGTGCCATGCTAATTTGAATTCTTAAACTTATTCACCTACTTGTGTCATTTTTTAATGGATTTGGTTGCAAACTTACTTTTTAAATTGCTTTTAACGTGCATAGTCTTAAATAAAAATCTTCTGGATCTCTAAAACATCATTTGGTGTCTTTTCTATATTAAATGCAAAACATGTATATGCAGTTAAAATGTACATTACAAAGTTGGAAGATCGTTCTATGTTGATATTTCGAGTTATCAACACAGACAACTTCAACAATATGTTGCGTAATGGCTTTGATCATCACTTTCAATTAGTGGTGGCAGTTCACTGTTTTGGGCTTATAAATTGCCATTATTATTATTATTATTTAATTTTGCAGTTATATGCTGCTGAAGACCATTTCAGTCCCCATGTTTTGTGGGAAGGGGGTTACAGTACAGAAGTTCTTTGATCCCTACATCGACTTTCACATGGCATCTTGTCAACTTTGTTTCAATTCATTAGCATCTAGATTGCAAGTTCAGGGTCAGTCCACCACCATTGCCAGTGCAGAATAGTATACTAGAGTCCTGCCACAACCTGCAACAACAAATCATGATGTGAGCAAGTTTGCTTTAACTGAGTGGTACGCAATCAGCCAGGTCTGACACCTCGGGACAAACCAATCCTTATTTCTTGTCAAGATGAGAATTATCATGTCATAAGAGTCGTAAGAGGTGATTAAGGGGCTCAGGTGGTCAGGCTCGCTGACTGGGTTGACACACATCATCGTATCCCAAATGTGTAGTTCGATGCTCATTGCTCATATTGTTGTTTTTATCCGGATTGTTGTTTTTATCCGGAGCAGAACTCTAGAACCGTTAAATGTTTCTTCACCAAACTTGGCACATAGATAGATCTGGTGGTGAACTAATGCCTTTTGGTAGTTTTGGATTTCTGAATAAAATATTTTTGCCGTTTCCATGGCAACAAGTTTGATTGGCGTTTCCATGGCAACAAGTTTGACTTTAACTGAAATTGGTCAGTATTTACATATGTCCATTTTTCCTTCGCTGTCCTTATATAAGTCCCATAAATCTCTGTTGACCTGTGAAAAATATTTATCATTGAACATAAGTAATAAGTGCAAGCGTCTGTTCACATTATTTAGATCAGGGTGTAATGCACTAGGTATCAAATATATTAGAAGAGGTACTGCCTCCTGCAATGATGATATTGTATTATGTAAACACTGTAAAAGTATTGAGGATGAAATCCATATTGTCTATATTTGTAAACGCTATGAGGATATGCGTCGGCGTTACATTCCGAAAACGGTCCATGGATATTATTATTCACACCGCAGCATATGTACATCATCCGACAATAACATCATAAATAATTTTGTCAAGTTCTTAGAACATGTTTATTCTGCTCCTGTTAGCGTTGTTGTATGAAAATGGTAACCAAAATCACTATTGTACCACCTTGTATGATGGGTCGTATGGCCTTTATACAAAAATAAACCCTTCTTCATTTTTCTAATAAAAGCTCAATATCTCTCATTCTCTTTGTTTCTTTTTCAAATGTTTGCCTTTTAGAGTTTATATGGTAATTCCTGCAAAGATATTTCAAAATGTGTTTTATGCCAATGAAGATTATCCACCATACAAGCATATGTAGTGTGCTGATTGAGCCTCGGGTTGAGATGCTTGTGCGGTGCTGTATGTGTACTAACTCTTCACACATATCCATTACAAGTGGTAGTGTATAAAACTGGAAACCTACCCACATAATGATCAAACTGAATGAATGAATGTTATAAATAGTGAAACCTGGTTCAGAAAAGATAGAATGTATGAGGAGTGTACAAGGTTGTTATCTGTTACAAGTGCCCTTATCTAATAATCCAACATAGGTATTGAAGATTCAGAAATAACAAAGTCACAAAAATGCTTTCAAAAGTGTTTCTGATCTAAAACCTTTTCATAAAGAATTTGCCATATACACACCAAAACATTGGACATAGTCATAACTAGTTAACATATTCATGAAGAGTATTTTACCATTGCGGGGGATATTGATTTTTGTAAGTGACATTATTTATTTCAAGAGTCCCTGTTACAGTTTGAGGCACACACCCAGGGAAATGTGTGTTCTTGGAGCTAAACAGGATTGATTTTCATTCTTGTTGTACAAACGTGTGCCTGAACTTTGTGATACAATGAAATGAATGATAGAGCATGAAGAGGATCAGAGACTCTATAATCTTTACAAAACGTCCATTCGCACATTCACACTTTTGCAAGTAAAATGGAAAATATGTCAACTCTATATATAGAATAATATCCAAAGTTAGACCTGGCAGAAGCAGTGTAGTAAAAAAAAACATATAAAAAATTCAGTTATCTACAATTTAACTGAAGTCTTATAACAGAGAGTGGTAGGACATCCACTGTGAATAAAATTTATTCTGTTCACATTTATCACTGAAAATGTGTTTTTCATATTGTATATCTATTTTTTTAATTCATGTTAAAAATCTTGAGGGATAATTTCACCTTCTTCAATTTACATTAATAAATAAAAAACACTTTTAAAGAAGTAAAATCAAATCAAAAACTCCCTCAGTAATTACATTTCCTTTTATACCAAACAAATGAGTTCTGCACTTAAATTCATGTTATCAATGTGATCACAGCTAACAGTAGTCCCAAAAAGCAAATTATTTCAAAAGGCCTTGACTTCATGACACTGCCAGTAAAGATGCACAACACTTTCTTTTTCCGAGTTACAGAAACTGCTCAGAGGACTCTGACTTACCAATTTTAAGTAGATATACATTAATATTTTGTTGCAATTATTCTGTGCTGCAGTCTATATTGAAGCCATCGTAATTTTATGTAGTCTTGAAAGGATTTAGATAAGTGTTCGGCCAATCCAAAGTTTGAAATAACATTGTGTCGTTTTGCCATTTTATCTGTGATTTAATATAGCAATATGAAATAATATCTTTTCGAGCCCTTTTTAATAGATGTAAGTTTGTTGAAACTTATTTTTCACCAGGGGCAGCAGGATCACTTGGTAAATCAAATTCCTTTTTTTCTTCAGAAAAATTTTCACAGAACTTATCACACCATAATCTTCCAAAAAAATACTTTCTTTAAAATCTTTAAAACACAAAAGTATTACGATCATTAAGAATATCAATTATTTGAGTTATGCCTTTTTCGCTGATGCTTTTGTTAAAGAAAGTCAGTTTACCAATAACAATATTGGATTATAAAAATAATATAAACAAGCAGTTGCCACTAAGGTGACATAATCCCCCGCCGCATATTATCAAATCAAACGTAAAGAGTAATGAAAGTGAAGGTCGTAGTTTAAGATGAAGTTAAATGTCAACAAAATCATGACCAGTCAACCTCTCTTGATATCTTGCTCTTTAGCTGTTCAAACACACTTTGACCTTCACATGAATGTCATGGTGTATGAAATATGCAAAAAATGGTAATAGAGAAATTGCTTATCAAAAAACATTCAAGAGAAGTCTTGAAAATATATGTAGAAAATCCAGTGAACCGTTCTTGAGATATCTGGCTGACAATCTTAACATACTGAAATCTTCAAAGTGTCGTTGTGACCTTGACAATTACGTGAAGGTCACTAAACTCGACTGGGCCCTGCACCTTCCCTATATGAAGCTTAGTGTCAAATATGATGAAAATCCAGTAAACGGTTCTTGAGCTATCTCGCTGACAAGCTAAACATGCAGCTTAACATGCTGAAATCTTCAAAGTGTCGTCGTGACCTTGAAAACTATTGGAAGGTCACCAAAATCGACTGGGCCCTGCGCCTTCCATTGCTATTTCTTTGTGAACCAATGCAAACAACTTGTGACTTATTATAATTAATTTTTAACCCTTCGTCTAACATAAAATCAGTATCATCTGCATATTGGGAAAAAATGCAAGTGATTTGGTCAGTGGTAATTCCAGTTATATCTTTGTTGTTTGGAACTATAAGTTTGCAAGTATTTCAGCACACAGCTAAAAAAATGTATGTTGAGAGAGGATCACCTTGTCTACAACCCAGCTGAACAGAAATCTGAGATGACATGTTTCCATTTATTAACAAATTAGAGTGAATAACATTATAAAAGACTGAAACCCATTTTCACATTAATCACCGATTCTCAGTCAGCGTGCACATCTGTGATCATAGAAATCGGAAGAAAAACATTGCATCTCAACACAATTTCTTCGATATGACAACAAGTATATTCACCTGCCCTATGTGCAGAATGATAGGACACAATGTCTTATGGTTTGTTAATAAACGGCAGTGACTAGCAGCTAAAATCCTTTATCAAACTCAAGTTAATTTCAACACAAATAAATCAAAAGAGTAATCAGATGTTATTTAGAATTTGACCGTTATATTGACAATTGTTGAAACTTCAAACAGGTTTTCCAAATAGAATCTCTAGTTCATCTAAAGTAATACTGAAAGCCTTTCACTGGCATTTCTATATTTAAAGAACATCATCATGGAGTTATGTGACCTGGAAACATATCTATTTGTCCCACAGTAGTTATAAAATGTATCATTGTAAGGTAATGAACATACAATACAACTGTTACGTAAATGCTGTCGAACATGACGGCTGCAGGTTTTGCCATTTTCAGAACACTGCAAATGCATATAAATTTATTACATATCTTTAACAAACGTTTAGCGACAAACGTTGGATTCTATAGGCATTTCTGTTCATTTGTCGCCAGTACAATCTTTGTATTTTACGTTACAGCTACTATAATTTACGTTAATACGAAAGCCACGTGGTAATTTCAGTAGATCTATATTTTTCATTACCGAGCATTATTATTCATGATTCATCTCATTAGAATACCTTCACGCATTGATAAACGTTTAACAGTTTGAGTTGTGATACATATACAAAAATCTTAAGGTTGGAGGTTCAGCACTTACATACCGATGATTTAACCCGACAGAGCTTCAGATCATGTGCAGCACGCACATTGAAATCAGCATGACTCAACATGTTTCCATGGCGACATTAAATTTGTTAGTGACTTATGCACATCATGTGATGATTACACAATGCCATTTAGAAAGTGGTCAAATGTAACCTATGTTATATTTGGGATTACACTTTCTTAGTGAAGTACAAATTCTAGTACTTTTAGAGTTGAGCCCCATCCGGGATTCGAACTCACACTGGCAAGTTAGTGGTGTGCCCAATGCTGGCATGTCACTATGGCTGCTTGTCATCCATCGACCAGCCAGAAAGCATCAGTAAACTAAGGACGTTAAGAACCGCCCTCGTTCAGGTGAACCACGAGTGACAACTCAAAAGGAGCTACAGCCTTTCTCAGAACCACAGACCGCCTCCGTGGTGTAGTGGTTAGAGCGTCCGCCCGGAGAGCGGAAGATCTCGGGTTCGATCCCCGACCGCGTCATACCAAAAGACATTAAAATATGGTACTTGTTGGTCCCTGCCTGGCGCTCGGCATTTATGGGTACGACAAGGACTGGTCGGTTCGGAGTCAGTATACTGTCTCTGAGTGGGGTATTCATGCTTCACTGCGGCATGGTATCTCAGTGGGCTAGCACTATAAAACCAGCTTAAGTCTGGGCTAGTACAAGCAGCCGCACATACACATACCGCACATACACACGCATGCACGTCGTCATATGAGCGAAATATTCTCAAGCACGACGTTAAACCCAATTTCACCTCACCTCACCTCTCAGAACCACAAGACTTCATCCATTCATTTCACTAGATTCGTTTCCACATCGTCGTTTGTCCAACAGAACGGTCCGAAATCGCCTAAAATCGACGAGTATAGAGCAAAACGACCTGTCATCTACATAGCACAAAGCAGAATGACGTGCTTGGTGTCAATCTGGAGTTCATGGGGAGGGGTCCACCGATTTGTTTTGGCCGAGTTGGTGTGTTGGCGCCGCAGACACAAACGCACTATTAGTAGAATATCTTGGAGCCAGGACCGGGGTACATTGATGGTGACTGTAAATTTGACTTTGTGATGATCAAACAAAATCAGAATGGACAACGGGACATCACTGACATCCTAGACAGTGTTGTGCTACATTCCGATGACCATTCCGAAGGCCAGTCATCATGGACGACAATGCCACATCGTGCACGTGCCGTTGGTGATTTCTTACGCCAAGAGGCAGTAGCAACTTTACCTTGGCCCACCTGCATATGGAGTCCGAGTCTAAATCCCATAGAGCATGTTTGGGACATCATCAGTCCCAGGTTACGCCAGAGAGATGCACCGGTACTAAGCCTTCCATCGAGAATGTATCGCAAAACCTCAACGTCAAATTAAACGTCTACTATAGTCTGGGATGACGATGATCAGTGATGTTATTGCATTTGGCGGGGGTTACTCCAGGTTGTGCTGTTATTGACACTAATGCCATTTCTTGAGGATTGTATTCCAGAATCTTGAAAATGACAGCACATGTTAAGGCCATACGTCCATCGTTATCAGCACGACAAAATGAGTCAATGTTTTGCCATGTTTGCTTCTCCGAATAAACTGTTCGTTCTTTCTGCGCTTATATTTGCCATTGATTTATTACCCGAAGGACAGTTTATCCAGATAGTAAGTTGAAAGGGGGGTTTGGATAAGTTCCTTTTGTTTGGTTAAAGGCCGGGGTTCAAATCATAACACAAATTGGGTGTGGCTACATTGCCTTGTGAAAGCTGTCTTTCGATACATAGCAAAGCTGTATTCAAGTACATTGAATTATCACCAAATCGACTTACCTGTCCATAGTGATATTAAGCCATAGTATACAAAAGGATGTTGTGAAATAAGACTCACTTCAAAATGTGTTGATGCAGACAGTCTCCAAAATACATTTTGAAAATACATTTCTCTTTTTGAAACACTGGTTTTAATTTGCCACTGGATCAGTCAGGTGACCAGAGGGGATGCGTTGTCATAGAAACAAGCCTGTGGGTGGAGGTTAAAGCCTCATTGAGGGTTTCTTTTTTAATTTTTTCCTCCCCTCCCCCACTCCTTGATCCCCTGTTGTACAGGGATATACATTGATTTGACTCGGACATCCAGCGGAACATTTGATTCTTCCCAGTGGGCTGACATTGGCTTGTATTTCTGTTATCATGATCAACACATCAGCTGGGCAAATTTAATTCTGTTCTAAAGTAAACCTTTGTCGTCCTAACTTCAATATGATAGCATAAAATGCTCTAAACCGCATTAATAACATAACAGTTGTACCCGAACCCCTAAAGCCCCAAATGAACCTTGTTAGTTTTAGCATGCATTTCTACTAGCGTGTCAGATCACACTTCATTGTCTCCTAGTACCGGAATATACTTGACATTCTCATTTTCTGGCCGAACATACTGATTTCCCCACAAGATGGATCCAAGTAAGCGACCTGCTCGTTTTACAATGGAAATACCTGGTGATCATGAAGTCTGAAAGCTGAAACAGGTTACCGCACACCTGAAAGCAGAGACAAACATGCCTGTTTATAATGCTGAGGTACTGGGCCGGGCACTGTAATATTATCTCCAGCATCATGGTGTGATTGCCCCAAAACAACCACCAGTTACACACCTGACCGCCAAACCTGGTGACTGATGACACGTTTATCATCATATCTGAATCATCTATGAAAATGTGTTTGGATGTAGCGGAGGAGCATGGACGAAAATGTTCCAAGAGTGAGTGAGTATGGTTTTATGCCGCTTTTAGCAATATTCCTGCAATATGACGGCGGGTACACCAGAAATGGGCTTCACACATTGTATCTATGTGGGGAATCCAACCCGGGTCTTCGGCGTGACGAGCGAACGTAGATTATTTTGACCTGAAGCCTTGTTGCCATGAGATAATTCGTTCTCCCAGATTGTAAATATGACAATACTACAACGACAAATTTGTTTACATAGAGTATCACTGAAGTAATATGATTGAATTTTGATATGACTATTTCCTTCAGCTGCAACACCACCTTATATTGCTCATCCACCCATCCAGAGACAGAGAGTGTGTGTGTGTGTGTGTGTGTGTGTTTTCACCTACAGAAGGACTAATATGAACTCCGTAACGTTCAACAAATAAAGAAGTTGATATCAGCAAATATCTTGACTCGCTGTCAAGTTGGAAAATTGTTGAGTGCGGAGCTAATCACTACACAGGCACAAACAACAATTGTAGTGGACCCACTCCGCTATATGATTGAATGAGTGAGTATGGTTTTACGCCACTTTTAGCAATATCAAGGCGGGGGACACAAGAAAAGGGCTTCACACATCGTACCCATGTGAGGAATCGAACCCGGGTCTTCGGCGTGACGAGCGAACGCTTTAACTACCCCGCCGACCCGCCATATGAATAACACCAAAGCACGCTGAAGCTTGTGGTGATGTATGCTATTCAGCAGAACATTTGTTGACGTCAGTTTGGGCAGACAGCAAGTGGTTGAGTTAATATATTGTTTTTTAATTGTTAAAATAGGAAATCGGAGGATTATATCCACGTTCGGGCTTTGTACCAGCAGCGAAACGCAGTGCACAGCTTGACGCGAAGGCGTCACAGGTCCACAGGTATATGGACTTAAAACGTGATGAAAGCTGCTACAAGCTCATCAATTGGGCTTCAGATGCCGCAGTAGCGACCTAGTTTGTGGTCATTTGTGGTCGAGGTCTCCTTGGATTGTTCAGTCACTTGGTTGTCAGTTTCAGTGCATCAAGCAATGGAGGCGTTAGGTATTTTGTTACTCGGTTCCATTTGTTGTGTGTCTGCGGGGCCAGTGAAGGTTACCAGTGTGAAAGACGAAATCAAAAGCCACCGCGCTGATGCGGAACGTATAATTAACCTGGTGGTCAATGGAAGTGCTAAAGGACAGACATACAACCGACTGGCCGAGTTTGTGGACACATTCGGGAGTCGTATTGCGGGTTCTCAGAATCTTGAAAACGCCATTGATTACATGATGAAGAAGTTGAATGAGGATGATCTGGAGAATGTACACGGAGAGTCCGCCATGGTGCCCCACTGGGTGCGAGGGAAGGAGTCAGCCACCCTGGAGCAGCCACGGATCCTACCCCTCAACATACTGGGTCTTGGGGGTAGCATCGGCACCCCTCCCGAGGGCATCACGGCTGAGGTCATTGTGGTCAAGACGTTTGACGAGTTGAAGCGGAGAGCTGCCGAGGCCCGCGGGAAGATAGTGGTGTACAACGAGGACTGGGTAGGGTATGGAGCGACTGTCCAGTATCGTTCACTGGGAGCTGTGGAGGCGGCCAAAGTGGGTGCTGTGGCCTCTCTCATACGTAGTGTGACCCCCTTCTCTATAGACAGCCCCCACACCGGCTGGCAGGACTACAGCGACAACGTCACCAAGATACCTACAGCCTGCATCACGATAGAGATCGCCCAGATGCTGCATAGGATGTCCTTGAGAGGGGAGAAGATCGTCATCAACCTCAAGATGGAAGCTCAGAACCTGCCCATGGTCAAGTCCAGGAACACAGTGGCTGAGATTAAGGGCAGTACATACCCGGATGAAGTCGTGATCGTGAGCGGCCACCTTGACAGCTGGGACGTGGGGCAGGGGGCGATGGACGACGGCGGCGGTGCCTTCATTTCCTGGCAGGCCCTGTCTCTCGTCCGCCAACTGGGACTTCGCCCTAAGCGTACCCTCAGGATGATCATGTGGACTGCAGAAGAAGAGGGGGTTTATGGAGCGAAGCAGTATTTCAAGGACCACCAGGACGAAATCCCCAAACACGATCTGGTGATGGAATCGGATCTCGGTACGTTCAACCCAAGAGGTCTCCAGTTCTCCGGCAACAAGGCAGCCACAGCTATCATGAAGGAGGTCGCCCAACTTCTCAGTTCCATCAACAGGACAACCCTCTACAGTCCCGCAGATGTCAGCGACACCGGTCTTTGGAAGAACATCGGTGTCCCAAGCGGCAGCATAGAGAACGACAACGAAAACTACTTCTACTTCCACCACAGCAACGGTGACATGATGACAGTGGAGAACTCCGGCGTCCTTGACCTTTGTTCCGCCATCTGGGCAGTGGCGGCGTATGTGGTAGCTGACCTTGACGCTATGCTTCCACGGGACATTGTGAACGGTTGACTATTTATTTCAAGGTAATACATGTTAAGCTTTAAAGTGTGTATGTCTGTAATATGTAACAACTGCCTAATTTTGTGTCTTATTAGATGTAACTTCATTTTGTTGCTGCAAATCTATTTCAAGTTGGTACATTTGGAAAGTAACGTATTTCCTCTAATAAGCGCCCGGACGCTTATTTTTTCAACAGACTTATTAGAGGCCAAGCGCTTATTGCGCTTACTGGGCGTAATTAATTATTTCTTAATCGCTGCTTAACCTCCGGCGCTTATTAGTTTCCGGCGCTTATTAGAGGAAATACGGTATATGTCCTTGCCGTCACAGGCTCTCGTGTCTTTGCGCAGATTCTTTAAAACTATATAAAAATTTGAGATGACCCCCCGACTCTAAATGCTCCACCATATGTCATGATGTATATGTACTGTGAAGCATTTCGAGTCCGGGGTCATCTCAAAAACAATATTTTATTAATCTTTAATCCTCGCAAAGACACGAGGGCATGTGCTCGGGGTACGTTTTCCACGTAGCATACAACTGCTCAAGCTCGAAAGATATTTCTGCTTCAATTATGACTTCGAAATCAACAGCGTATATTGCATACGATTTCCAAAGCCTGTGTTTGTTTTCTAGCTTGTTATATAACGCCGGCATGAGTCCCGCTCTGTGACAGCGGCCCATAATAATCGTGCCTGGACAGGGATTGATATCAAGAGCAATTCTCCACCCCATCGGGCTACGTTAACACGCCATCCGTCAAGCCCCCAAGCTGGGCCAAGCAATCCATTTGGTAGTCTTTTACAACACGCATATGTTACTAGGATTCGGGCCTGACCCGGAGGTACACCATGACTTCGTTGGTCATTTCAAACATCGTTCTGCTCGGTGTAGCGAAGAAGACTGATTGAGTATAGTTTTACGCGTCTTTTAGCAATATTCCAGCAATATCACGGCGGGGGACACCAGAAATGGGCTTAACAAATTGTACCCATGTCGGGAATCGAACCCGGATCTTCGGCGTGATGAGCAAACGCTTTAACCACTATGCAACCCCACCGCCCCAATGTAGCAAGGATGAAAAGTAGCGGTCAGATGCGTATCAGAGGTACCTATTACCAGTGTGTGCATTCTCAAGCCCGAAGCATCGTGTGGTAAGGCCTCCGACCTACATTCCCTATCTGTGTTTTCTGTACAGATAATGTTGGCTCTAGAGGAAACACCCCGACTTCAGTGGTTCGACATTTGCGTGCATGTCGTTTGACCTTGTACTTACTTATACGTAAAACCCAAGATGTCTTTTGAGGTAAGCAGTCGGCTCACACTTAGTCTGATACGTAGTTCAAGAAATAAAGTCTTAAGGTTAAAAAATATATACCCTCAAAAAATGTATGACACCAGGAGCCCAGAACAATGGCTGAGACTTGCCCAATCATTCTAGACTTGAGTTGGGCTCCTTTCTTAATACCTCGGGGATGGGAAACAGACTGAGTGAGTGAGTTTGGTTTTACGCCGCACTCAGCAATATTCCAGCTATATGGTGGCGGTCTGTAAATAATCGAGTCTGGACCAGACAATCCAGTGATCAACAGCATGAGCATCGATCTGCGCAATTAGGAACCGATGACATGTCTCAACCAAGTCAGCGAGCCTGACCACCCGATCCCGTTAGTCGCCTCTTACGACAAACATGGGTTACTGAAGATCAATCCTAGCCCGGATCTTCACGGGTAGGGAAACAGACTGCTACATACTGGTGGGAAGACTGAACCAAAACTATCCGTGGTATGGACTCAAACTGTTGCATTTCCTAGCAACACCGCATGATACAGGACTGCCCGCGCCCGCTGATGACACATGACATGATCATGAAGACAAAGAGAGGAACCAAGGAATTTACACTGCATGCAGGGGATAAAACCCGTCGGGAAATTGTGGACCTTCATGGGTGTCATGGCCGTGAAAGGATTAGTGGAAACTATTCATTTGAGTGTTGTGGGATGTGTGCCCAGCACCCCATTTTATTTGGTGAAATGCCTTGGGCTGTGCCCCTGCTTCGGTGAGGGAAGGGAGCTGGTAGTTTAAGAATACTCGCTCCAGGAACGAGGTTCCACTAACACACTCCATTGACACTCGCTCCATTTAGAAGCGTAGTGGGATAGACCAGTACTATCACTCGGCCGGTCATGCCAAGCCCCGTGTACTATCTCCTTTAGCCTGGATTTGTCCTTATTCCATTATCATTTTGCAAATTATAAATGTCTGTTTAAATTCTTTTCAAATCGGATATACATGTTTTCGATATATGCAATATTTCTGAAATCCCCCAAAACGGTGGCTCATAGCTCATTGTGGTGGAACATTATATATAATGTTTCTGGCAAAGGGTACACTCTTGGTATTCTTGGTGCTGCTTGGGAGAAGAGTGAGTGAGTTTAGTTTTGAGCCGCTTTTGGCAATATTCCAGCAATATCACGGCGGGGGACACCAGAAATGGGCTTTACACGCTGTACCCATGTGGGGAATCGAACGCTGGTCTTCGGCGTGAAGAGCGAACGCTTTAACCACGGGACTTCCTCATCGTCCCTCTTGGGAGAAGAAAATACATGTAACAAAACAGAAGAATGATGTTCTTGCAAGAAGAACGGTCTGAGGCCTTCTCCAATAACGCACCCTGAAAGGCTATCATGCTAATGCCATGGTAGCTTGAAGCTAAACCTCCAACTAAAATACTCCGGTATGTCTTTTAGAGCAATTGGTCGGGAAATGAAGGTCCACTATACAGTCCGTTTGATTTCATTAGAGACCGATGAATTGCTCACAAACACAAAAATCAAATAAATGCAACAAAACCAAATTTTGTACAGTCACATGAAATCGACGACCAACTCTGATGATTTGTCTCATAATTTTGGACACCCGAATAAAAAAGTTGTTTTACACACACAGTCATTTCACTGCCGCACACACATTATACACAGCTTTGTACTATGTGCATTGGTCCCATTATGCTGGGCATATTTTGCATGATTGTGTTGATTTGTACTTATCACACAACGTTTTAATGATAATGTTCATATCTTATCCGGACGTTTCAGGAGAGTTTCTGACCACTTGAGTTAAATGTATGCAAAAGAAATCAATATTTGCGATAATTCATACTACCAACGCGAGAGGCATTAATATAGGCCATGTTCGGCCTGTTTGCCAATCCTTTTTGTTCGTTCTGTATTGTCTTTCAAATGTATTGTCTGTATTTAGAATAAATACTGTTTAAACCATATACCACTTTTTGTGTGCTTAAAGGTCACATGAAACGTAAAACACAACTTTGCAGATTATGATACCTTTCGGTATGGACTTACAATAACAAATTATCAAAAATGTAAATATAACTTATAAAGTTGAAAAATAACGCGATGAAAAAAACCCCGCGAAATAGTTCAAACGATTCACTAAATGCACCCCACGCAGCTGGTGAAAAGTGGTTTCCACAGCTATGCTGCGCTGCACTGCGCTTATGGCGCATGCGCAGTGAATACGTTCGCACAGCTTGAAGCGGGGATTCCCGGATTATAAGGTCGTGAGCAGGAGTAGTCTAATCTTGGTTGTGTACACAATCACCAAATAGTGAATAATCTACTCGTTACATAAAAGAACCTTGTTAAGGATCTAGATTTACTCAGTTACGTGTCAACCAGTGAAGCGTTCGACATTTCAAGACGGAAAACCGCCGGCGGTGAGTACTCGGGGTAGGCTTTGATGTGAGCTTTTTTTCTAATGTTTAACTGTTTATATAATTTCATTTGACTATTTCACACGTTCTTTTTACGGAATCACTTTCTCAGTTCGACACTTAAAAGTAACGTCATTATTTAGCATTGTCAGAATTTCTAACTGTGATATAGATATGCCTCTGACACAGACAAAACTCAATGTCTGTTTTATTGACACATGTGCGTCTGCCAGCCTGTCTGCTAATGACAATATGCAATACACAACTTCGATCACTGACCTCATGCAATTTGAACTTAACACCTATCAGGCTATACACCATAAACAACTGTGATCTATCAGTTGTAATTGTTCGAATGTAATATTTATGTTACTGACTATTAGAACTATAACAAAACTTTGTTTACATCCAGTTAGACTAATGACCTTCCTTGTCGCGGACATCTGCAAACCTACTGGTGCTGCGTTACACAGTGCTCTCTTCATGCGGTGATTGAAGTGTATTGTCGAACAAACTAACAATGACAAAATCGAACAAACAGAATGGATATTTTATTAAAATTTGAAAAGTACATATCGCACAAAGGAACAGATGATATCAAGTGACTGATTGGCATTGAAAAGGTGCAAAACATTGACACACATTTTCCTTATCAAAATACTGTTGACTATGTACAACATTCGTGGATAATGGCCGACTCCGTAGTCCAGTGGATAGCGCGTCTGCCTAGAGAGTGAGTATGGTTTTACACCGTTTTAGTTCAAAGCAATATCACGGAGGGGACACTAGAAATGGGCTTTAAACATTGTACTCGTGTGAGGAATCGAACCCATTAGTCGTTAAAGCGTTCGCTCGTCTCGCTGAAGACCCGGGTTCGAATACCCACATTGGTACAATGTGGGAAGCCCATTTCTGGTGTCCCCCGTCGTGATACTGCTGAAACATTGCTAAAAGCGGCGTAAAACTGAACTCACTCACTTCACGTGACCGCACCCCCTCGGCAACACCGACATCATGTATCGGTACACGTTGGTGCATGCCCTCGGACACTACCAGACAGAGAGGAAAAATAAATACATTTACGAGTCCAATTATCCTGACTACTAAGATACACATTCTGGGAGAGAACGGTGACAGTTCAAGGGTTATGCTAGCAAACCAAGCCTATCGAGGAACTGATCATTTTCAGCAATTTTTCCACTGACAAAACATGTATTCGAGAATAATATCAACAGAATTCTGTTCAGAACAGCGTGTATGTCAATGTACTTCCACGCATGTAACATGTTATATCGCGGATTACACATTCTCAGTACCGACTCTCGTACTTTCGTTAGGATGAGTCCCATCCACACTCTGAGAGAGTGGGTTCGAATCCCGGATGTGACTCAAACTAACAAAGGTACTAGGATCTGTATTTTACTGAGACAGCGATCCAAAATATTACATGTTACATTTGAACACTTTCTAAATGGCATTGTGTATTCATACCTCCTCACGTATTATTTATTTATTATTATCATATCATACTTCCCCACGTATTATTTAATTTATCCTGTATGTAAATCTTAACACACACACTAATGTATTTTGTATCCTGTAGGTAAACTCGGGTGAAAGACACACACTCGTGAAAACGTTGATATATAACAGATTTAACTAAATAATTCTGCTCATGTACTCGGGCAGAAAAATATTGAATATACTCGCCGAAACAATCCATACATACAGCTGTTACCACGCATGTTCAGACAATAAACATTGCAAAACATATTAACGTCCAGTACACCAAAGTTCAAAATTAGACTTGCATTCTGTGTCGAATAATTGTGCTTTCCAGAACTAAATACGAATAAGTTGTCGAACCATATTAACAAAACGGATCCTCCATGTATATGCGCATCAAATTTAGATGCAAATTTAACTAAATAATATATTATTGCAAACATGTGACCAGAGCTCTGCAACATACAATATCAATGCTAATGTTGTCAGACCCTACCTTTCAAACATTACTTCCATTCGCGACATCTGAGATTGAGCCAATACCGTGAGCTTGTCACGATTGGTACCCTTTGAAACAGTGATCGAGTTGGTGTTATACCATGACAAACTAATGTGATCGTTGATTTCCAGGTTGTGCTATCGTGATTTAGGGGCGTTAACAGGAGTGGATATAATATGCAACATATTCGTACGAGCATCGTGACGCGTCGAAATCGGACGGATATGAACTACTTGATCATAGTTGAAGTCGACCTTGTGCCGTATCCCTTGGGAGCAAGGTGTCAAGGTCAGCCACTACGTACGCCGCCACTGCCCAGATGGCGGAACAAAGATCAAGGACGCTGGAGTTCTCCACCGTCATCATGTCTCCGTTGCTGTGGTGGAAGTAGAAGTAGTTTTCGTTGTCGTTCTCTATGCTGCCACTTGGGACACCGATATTTTCCCAAAGGGTAGTGTCACTGACATCTGCGGGACTGTAGAGGGTTGTCCTGTTGATGGAACTGAGAAGTTGGGCGACCTCCTTCATGATAGCTGTGGCTGCCTTGTTGCCGGAGAACTGGAGACCTCTTGGGTTGAAGGTTCCCATGTCTGATTCCATTACCAAGCTCTGTTTTGGAATTTCAGCTTTGTGTTGTTTAAAGTACTCCTGTGCGCCCCAGAGCCCTTCTTCCTCCCCAGTCCACATGATCATCCTGAGGGTACGCTTAGGGCGAAGTCCCAGTTGGCGGACGAGAGACAGGGCCTGCCAGGAAATGAAGGCACCGCCGCCGTCGTCCATAGCCCCCTGCCCCACGTCCCAGCTGTCAAGGTGGCCGCTCACGATCACGACTTCATCCGGGTATGTACTGCCCTTAATCTCAGCCACTGTGTTCCTGGACTTGACCATGGGCAGGTTCTGAGCTTCCATCTTGAGGTTGATGACGATCTTCTCCCCTCTCAAGGACATCCTATGCAGCATCTGGGCGATCTCTATCGTGATGCAGGCTGTAGGTATCTTGGTGACGTTGTCGCTGTAGTCCTGCCAGCCGGTGTGGGGGCTGTCTATAGAGAAGGGGGTCACACTACGTATGAGGGAGGCCACAGCACCCACTTTGGCCGCTTCCACAGCTCCCAGTGAACGATACTGGACAGTCGCTCCATACCCTACCCAGTCCTCGTTGTACACCACTATCTTCCCGCGGGCCTCGGCAGCTCTCCGCTTCAACTCGTCAAACGTCTTGACCACAATGACCTCAGCCGTGATGCCCTCGGGAGGGGTGCCGATGCTACCTCCAAGACCCAGTATGTTGAGGGGTAGGATCCGTGGCTGCTCCAGGGTGGCTGACTCCTTCCCTCGCACCCAGTGGGGCACCATGGCGGACTCTCCGTGTACATTCTCCAGATCATCCTCATTCAACTTCTTCATTATGTAATCAATGGCGTTTTCAAGATTCTGAGAACCCGCAATACGACTCCCGAATGTGTCCACAAACTCGGCCAGTCGGTTATATGTCTGTCCTTTAGCACTTCCATTGACCACCAGGTTAATTATTCGTTCCGCATCAGCACGGTGACTTTCGATTTCGTCTTTCACACTGTGGAAAGTTAGTGGGATCGAAAACACAGACACGAAAGCTACTGTTAACAGCAATAACGTAAACTCCATGTTAATTATGTCTCATACAGTTTGCCACTAAGACATTCACAGATAACCTGTATCGCAGTGACCCAATGACCCTATCGTCGCTGAAACAAACTCACCGCGCTGCCTGCTGCTGCGGGCGTGAACTGAGCGTCATGTGACCAACACTACTGTACCGAGCGCTGAACGAACTCCGTGCTTTGTATTAACTCGCACCTGTACAACGTGACACATGCTGAAATGCTTGATATGAACACACGCTATCAGGTGGAATGATATACATCCGGAGTGGTATAAATGATATGTGTTGTGTACGATATCCTCTGATCCATTCGTCAAAACTCGCCCTTTTCCGTAACACGGGATGACACGAGAGGTCACAAATGAAACATACTTTTTTCAGAAGGCAACGTTTTCGTGCATGCAGTTGGCCTCTGCTTTAATTATACTGTCCCGATCTACTAGAGCATACAGTTCTGCCTTCGTTGATCTGACACTAGGATTTGTTACAATCGTTATTATTGGTGGTTGGACTGCATGCCTGTCAAACAATTTGATGAAGGGACAGAAGGTCGGTCATTCTGGGACAGTGGGTCGCAGGACAATACATCTTTACAAGTTAAGGAGACCGTATCGTTTGCACTCCGCTGGACCTCCATGTCAGCACGCGGTGGATAAATACGCAAATAATGATGTTTTTCAATTTCTCCCAAACCACTATACTTTGCGCAGGGCTTGTTTTGTCGGCAACTTATCTTTACCTATAGGGACCGTTCATAATTTATGGCTTTGATGATTTTCAATTCTGTACACGTGAACTAGGGGGTGTCAGCAATTTTGTAAATACAAATATTAAAACTTTATGCTAAAAAGTTGTGGGAAAGAAGGGGAGGGGGGGTGTCATTGATTTTGTACATGACATGCAAGGGGGGTCACTTACTTTGTACATAAATTTATAAATTTTAGGGGGGTCATTAACATTGTACATGCTTCTCCATAAAAATCATCATCACACACCCCACCCCTTCCCCTAGCCATAAATTATGAACGGTCCCCTATCCATCCATCCATCTAATTCGTTTTAACTAAATGTCTACTCCAACCAAACTTAGTTTCCATCTTCCCTCTCCATCTCTCTGCCTTACAAACACGAACATGTTTCTGATCTCTTACATATTGAAACGGCAAGTTTATACATATTTTGCCTTAAGTGCGCTCCAAGTCAGACCCACATATGACCCTATACCCAGTATCAGCCAACAACAAATAGTTCTTCAGCAAGATGTTCCTACTATCGTTTACAATGATTACCACGCCTGCGCCTGGTGATGTTATATGGCTCAGTTGAGACATGAGAGGGTTTTTAAAAACTACCATTGCATGTCACACTAAGAAGGAGAGAGGCCACAGCACCCACTTTGACCGCCCCCACAGCTCCCAGTGAACAATACTGGACAGTCGCTCCATACCCTACCCAGTCCTCGTTATAGGTGAGGTGAAATTGGGTTTGACGTCGTACTTGAAAATATTTCGCTCATATGACGACGTGCATGCGTGTGTATATGTGTATGTGCGGCTGCTTGTACTAGCCCAGACTTAAGCTGGTTTTATAGTGCTAGCTCACTGAGATACCATGCCGCAGTTAAGCATGAATACCCCACTCAGACACATTATACTGACTCCGAGCCGACCAGTCCATGTTGTACACATTAATGCCGAGCGCCAGACTGAGACCAACAAGTACCATATTTTAACGTCTTTTAGTACGACGCGACCGGGGATCGAACCCGCGACCTTCCGCTCTCCGGGCGGACGCTCTAACCACTACACCACGGAGGCGGTCTCCTCGTTATAGACCACGATCGTTTACAGTGATTAACACGCCCATGGTTCAGTTGAGAACATGCGAGGTAAGGGACACTAGATTCGGACACCCATGCCTGCCCTGTCACTTCTGGCTTTTGTCCTACATTAAGCTGATACATCCTGATTTTACTGGAAGTTAAACCACGTTAAACCACTCCACATACCCCATCCCTTGAAAACAAATTTTAGGCCCCAGTGACATGAGATAAGCAATACAACATATTTCATCATGAATGACGCATACATGTAGTGAAATACCGAATAGAACTGTAGCAAGCCATGCTCCTTGTAAGATGCGACTACAGGCTCCGCTGGTCAGGCTAGCTGAGATGGTTGTTTCATGTTATCGAATCCCAACCACATAGATCAGTGCTCGTGATGTCAGTCATAAAGATATTCAGAACTTGTATGTAATAAATACTCACGCAAGTCTATAATATGGATCAAGTCTACAAAATCTGAAGTTGCAGGATTTCTGAAAATGAAGAAAATTTATGGGCTCCTGTTAATTATATTTTATACTTACGGAAAAAAAGTAACTGTGCATAACATAAAATTGCAGAATAAAAAGTTATTTGAAAAGTTATAAAAATAACATGTTGCAAAGCATTTTGCATGAAATGTGATGTCACTCATCGTGCGTGGCAGGCGCACTTTGTGCACAATTAACTTAATATCTTTTGCATGCTTTTGAAAAATTAAAAACAGTTCATTATTCTCTAAAATTAGCTTCTGAATACCGTGGAAAATACATTAATTTCAACTTAAACTGAGAATCAGTGTATCCGCGCTGTTGGTATGTTGGAGACCGGAATGGCCCAAAATGAAGTGGCCAGACATTTTGGTGTCAATCGAAACACGATCTCAGCTCTAAGGAGGTATATGCACTGTATGGAACCGACTGAAGGAGCACAACAGCCGGCCCCCACGACCTGCAATACGTCCAATTTTGCTCCAACGTCACCGACAGGCACGTCTTGTCCGATGCAGACATCATCTACGGTACAGGAGACAAGATTGGGATAGCGGTTTCTTCACTGACGAGTCGAGATTTCATCAAGGCAGCTCAGATGGCAGGGCAAGGGTGTACAGACGGCTAGGTGAATGGTATGCTAACGCGTGCGTTGTTTAAAGTCGACAATTTGGTGTCGAAAGCGTTATATTATGGGGAAGCATCACATCTCATGGTCGGACACAACTTGTCATTGTCGATGACAAATTGACAGGTCTGCGATACAGGGTGAGATTACTGGGCCTCGTGTGCAGCCGTTCATTCAAAGACAGAGACTTAACTTCACAGTTCAGCAAGATAAATAATGCACGTCCACATGTCGCCCATGTTGTGACAGATTTTCTGAGACAGCAGAATAGTCCGGTGCTCCCCTGGCCAGCTGTTTCTCCGGACCTGTCGGGAAGGTGAAATGGAGCGACGTGAAATGGAGAGACGTTTACGTCAAACCCAGAATCAGCCATTGACGTTAGATGAATTGGGACAAGCGTTGGTTCAGACATGGAACAACATTGAATTCCCAAAGCTTTCTTTAATCCCTTAGTGTCGTCTATGCGTCTGCACCAACGGCAATAGTGGACGCACACGAGTGGGTGAGTGAGTGAGTTTAGTTTTACGCCACATTCAGCAATATTCCAGCTATATGGCGGCGGTCTGTAAATAATTGAGTCTGGACCAGATAATCCAGTGATCAACAGCATGAGCATCGATCGGCGCAATTGGGAACCGATGACATTTGTCAACCAAGTCAGCGAGCCTGACACCCGATCCCGTTAGTCGCCTCTTACGACAAGCATAGTCGCCTTTTGTGGCAAGGTCGCTGAAGACCTATTCTACTCCGGATCTTCACGGGTCTGACGCACACGATATAGAATTTGTGAACTGACTTTTGACAAGGGCGTGTCACAATGCCTAGTGTCAAATCATACAGATTTCGATATTATCCTGTCGTCAGCTGAACATGTACAGTGATTAATGAAAACACCACAAATCACGTTATCATTTCGCAGTAAAAATGGCATAACATAAAATATGCACATTTGCCATATTCCAGTAGTATATACAAATACTTTAAGCATTTAAAATGCTGTGAAATATGTTCATATCAGAGACTTGACAAAACAAAATCACCGAGTGTCCAGTCCTTTCACGCTTCTCGCGACATTTTTTGTTGTCTTATATTCATTGAACAAAATAGCTATCCAAACTCTTTACAAAACACATTGTAATTATGATAATTATAGCACGTTTGATGTCTTACAAACTCTACAAGTAGACGAACGTTATGATAATGACTTCACAATATAACTAATTGTTCCTATGTATATATGTATATATATATATTCAGTTGTCATGCAAATTAGTATCGTTGATGATAAGACACTTTTCACACAGGTTTAAGGTATCTTTTTTCAAATTCATAAATCTTGAAACTTACTGGTACAGGGAAGATATTTACAAACCATAAAACTGTGTAGACGCGCCCATGCAGTAAATCGTAAAGATAACCTAGGCTAGGTTATTATCACTCCTCGGGTTTTTAAAATTTTCGGTCTAAATCATTCAGTTTATTCACTCGTAAAGAATTTAAACATTTTACATATTATTTTGACAATAAGTGTAATGAATTGATGCCATTTAAAATAAAACAACTGTTTGGTTTTTCTCGTTTTGTTATCCAATGAGATAAGCTCTGGACATATTATGCAGGGCTGTAATAAACATGGCGACTTTTGTCGCTGGAAAGACGTAGTTGCATCGTATAACACAGAAGAATCTAGAAATCCGACGTTTTTGTTACGGTGTGTTACCTTTTTAAGGTAAACTGTGAATATGATTTAAACTTATCACTGAAAGAAAGACCATTGTCACTCGTTATATCGGGTTGTTGAACTAGTTGTCCGGAATTCGTGCACCTGATCCACCGAAAACATCAACAAGAACTTAAGAAGTTGTTGTTTTTTAAAAAACAAAATTGGAAACAGCCTTTCTTATTGTTCAGAAACCGGAAACCCGATACAAAATGAAACATAAAATCTGGTTTCATATCTTGTTCACAGGTTGAACATATTTGGAATAGTATCGATATTATGATTATGGTTGTTGGCACAACCTCAATTTGCCGAGAGCCGCGATGCAGTGCGTCCTCGTACTATAATAGTTCGGGGCAAAAGTGTACTCTATTACACAATACATGCTGGAAGAGCGAACTGTATTTCTTAATGAATGTATATGTGTAAGATTGTTTTGTAAAATGTCACCTGAATGACATGAATGATTTATATCTTCAAGTCTTTGACTGGCATTTAAAAGGGAGGGAATCTAAGGATGTCATTGTCAACTTCATTGTATAAGGAAGACTTACAGTGTTCTAAAATGTAATAACAATGTTTTCTTCTATTATTCATTGTGTTAAAAACGTTTATTTCTAGTGTTGGTTATAATAAGGAAGCTATTCAAATTCTTTCCCTGACAATTGATATTTTGTGTTGTTCCAGAAGATGGAGGAACTGACCGCAGCTCTTGCCACCAGCTTCAGTGTGACGAGAGAGCTGAACACAACGGCAGCAGAGCACCCACGCTTCTCCCAGTATAAACTCAAGCTGAGTCCATCAGAGAGGCAGGAGGCACGCAGAAGGAAGATTTTAGAGATTCAGAAGAAGTATGTTATTGTTGATATCTTTTCCCATTTTGCTGATATGAAGTAGTAATTGTTCTAATAATTTCCCTTTGGTGTCCACTGATTGGAGGTAAGAAGTGTATAAGTTTGGCCACAGCAGTGTAGATTTCTGACGGATGGTCTAAATTTACAGCTTGCTAGTCTGATGGTCTGGTCAAAATTTTAGATGTTCCCTACATCTGAATAAATTCACCATATCTTGGTGTCTGCTCTGGTTAAGCCCATTTTGGGATGGTAACATTATGAACTTGAAGTTGAGGGGGTTTTTGGCTTATTTCATACACTGGCCACTGTTTAGAAAAAGTTTATTTAGTGTTCCTTGAGATTCACTTGTTTTTCGAATGAGTAATCTGATCTGTCAATGCCTGGCAACTTATAAGTAAGAACTGTCAGCCTTTGCTGATTCTGCTGCTGGATCTGCATGTTGCCATTTACCTTCAGAATATAAATACTGATATTTAATAGTATTTGAATTCAGTGTTGTTTAATCTATGAAAAATACTTCTTAGACAACAGTACACAATTTATGACATCATTCATCGCAATAATCCAGCACAAGCCACATATATTTCATCATCAAGGGGCAGTATTCTTTTACTGGGCATAGCTTAAATATTATTTTTTTATGTTGGATAGGCAATCAAATGCCATGAAGTCACTTGTAATTATTCATATATGGGTGTATGTGACCAGGGGACCAATGGATAAGTGGGAAGAAGATTCATTGGGATTTCTTTACTTGAACCCAAACTGACTGAGTGAGAATTATAAACACAGACAGACAAGCTGGTGATTAAAACTGGAAAATATTGAAGGAACACTTGGTTTTCCTGTGTTCCTTTATTTGTTTCTCTCAGTATATCTAGTAAAAATGTCTGGTTTGACATTTCATACTCCATGGTACATGGGCACTGACAGACATATATTTAATATGTGATATACTCAAGGGCATGTGATCGTATCCATTCTGACTGACAGTTTATTTGTACCCATGATAAAAGATACATTCTTTTGACTTGATATTTCACTGTTGGTTTGTCTGCACAATATCAAGTTTCTGAATGTGACACATCCTAACTATGCATGAGCATTTGAATGTTTCTGTCATCAGACTCAGTCACCAGGAATAGTGTTTGACTCTCACTTTCACCATTGGTTTGTCAGCACCAGATTCAGCACTCTGTCACTTTGTATTTGCATTCTTATGTTGGGTTAGGTTGACCGTACATCCATGGTTTGAACGTGGACCAAAAAAAAAAACTGCGACAGAAAATGGCAAAGATATAAGGAAAATCAAATGATCAGCTATTTACACATGCGCTCTTTTTGGTGCTTTGTCTTGACAATACTGGGAGAGTAACATGAAAAATCTCTATACTTTTTAAAGGAGGACAGTTTCTGTAAATGGTTGGTTTCACATGGCGATGAAAAATTGTATCATTGGCAATTTAAATCCAGGATAATTTTAAAGAATACACTTGACACTTCAATAAGACACTTGCATCAGTCTGTACTAGTTTGAACAAAGCATTGAGGGGACTGTGAAGTACATTTCATTGTCTTTGTAACATGTTTCAGTCAGGAGGAACTTCATGTGATTTTTGGAGGATAGAAGTGCATGTTAATGTGTGATTGTCTGTATTCATAAATCTCTCAATACAACTCCCTGCTTCCATAGGCTAGGTGAGACGCAGTTCCCCAAATACTCTGTGTGAAAATTGGCATGTGTCACTACTACTTCAATCATGTCTACAGCCTTGTATTGATGGGTGATTGAGGAACAAAGTATCCCCCTCCATGAAGTATTGATGTTAAGTTCCACAATCTCCACTCCCTATTCTATAGCTTTGGTCACAATTTGTTCTATTTAGTCAATGAAGTATGCACAAATTGCTTGAGATTTTGTGAAAAAGTCACAGGGAAATATAGAGTTTCGTAAGGAATTTGGAAATAGATTTAGTATATGTAATGGGTATATACTTTACTCTTCAATCTTATAACTCTTCCATTCTGTCTGAGTAAGAGGAAACGTGACAACAGATGGATTCCCATGTGGTGGTCGGGCTTCATGAGTGTTTGCAATGTTTTGTAGAACAAGGGAGACAACTGATAGTCCAAAGTGTGTCCCTGCAGAGAAGTGCTCTCCCACTTCAGGAGATTCTCATTCCCAGAGATGTACTGAGTGAGCTCTGAATCCAGGGACTTGCCACTTGCTTTGTGTCTGTGTTTATACCGCACTCCATGTAAATAACACCCCATCAAAATACAATGCCATTTATTACTCAGTGCGGTTGGGTATCCTAGTGGTTAAAGTGTTCACTCGTCGCACTGAAGGCCTGGGTTTGATCCCATGTAGGTACAATGTGTGAAGCCCATTTCTGGTGTCCCCTGCTGTGATGTTCCTGGTTTATTGCCAAAGGATGTTTAATACCTGACTGACACACTTACTATTGACTGCTCAGGATGATGGAGGTGGGGTATGGAGTATTAACAACCTCATTCTAAGGACTTACCAATATACCTTCTTTGAGCGTCTGACTTCGAAACCCAGGGCTAATTATACTGAATACGGTATTCATACATGCTCGTATTAAAGGTACATACCCATTTCTGTGTTTTAAATTTTGGTGTTTGAGACTTACGTGATTAGTTAACTTTTGGTCATGTCTGTGACTTCAAAATGGAGAATGGATCTGCAAAGGGGTGTTGACAGGGTCTGTAGCTTTAATACCATTGACAGTGGTGCAGATGATTTTATTTTTTTCCACATTAACACCTTCATGAGCATGATATGGTTCAATTTGTTCCACTAACACTTGTATCATGCATGCATATTGCCATGGCGACTTCAGTCAGAATAGATCATTAGAACCTCATGCTTGTGATTGAGGATAGCTGACATTGTGACAGAGTGGATCATAGCTGTCACATGACATGGATCACAGCTGTCCGTTAGACATGACATGGATCATAGCAGTCTGTCTGTCATGACATGGATCTTAGTCATCTCTCTGTCATGATATGGATCACAGCTATCTTTTTGTCATGACATGGAACATAGCTGCCTGTCATGACACGGCGGGGCGATGGGGTAGCCTAATGGTTAAAGCGTTGGCTCGTCACGTCGAAGACCAGGGTTCGATTCCCCACATGGGAACAATGTGTGAAGCCCATTTCTGGTGTACCCCGCCGTGATATTGCTGGAATATTGCTAAAAACGGCGTAAAACCATACTCTCTCACTCATTCACTCATGAGATGGATCATAGCTGTCTTTCTGTCATGACATGGATCATAGTTATCTGTCTGTCATGACATAGATCATAGTTATCTGTCTCTCATGACATGGATCACAGCTGTCTTTCTGTCATGACATGGATCATAGTTATCTGTCTGTCATGACATGGATCACAGCTGTCTTTCTGTCATGACATAGATCATAGTTGTCAGTCTGTCATGACATGGAACATATCTGCCGTTCTGTCATGACATGAATCATAGTTATCTGTCATTATATGGATCATAGCTGTCTTTCTGTCATGACATGGAGCAGCTGTCAGTCAGGACATGGATCATAGCTGACATCTGGCATGGCATGGAACATAGCTGTCAGTCATGACATGAACATAGCTGTCTTCTGTCATGACATGGATCATAGTTATTTGTCTGTCATGACATGGATCACAGCTGTCTTTCTGTCATGACATGGATCATAGTTATCTGTCTGTCATGACATGGATCACAGCTGTCTTTCTGTCATGACATAGATCATAGTTGTCAGTCTGTCATGACATGGAACATATCTGCCGTTCTGTCATGACATGAATCATAGTTATCTGTCATTATATGGATCATAGCTGTCTTTCTGTCATGACATGGAGCAGCTGTCAGTCAGGACATGGATCATAGCTGACATCTGGCATGGCATGGAACCAAGCTGTCAGTCATGACATGAACATAGCTGTCTTCTGTCATGACATGGATCATAGTTATTTGTCATGTCATGACATGGATCATAGCTGTCTTTCTGTCATGACATGGATCATAGATGTCTGTCCGTCATGACATGGATCATAGCTGTCTTTCTGTCATGACATGGATCATAGTTATCTGTCAGTCATGACATGGATCATAGCTGATCTGTTTCTGTCATGACATGGATCATAGTTATCTGTCCGTCATGACATGGATCATAGCTGTCTTTATGTCATGACATGGATCATAGTTATCTGTCTGTCATGACATGGATCATAGCTGTCTTCTGTCATGACATGGATCATAGTTATCTGTCTGTCATGACATGGATCACAGCTGTCTTTCTGTCATGACATGGATCATAGCTGTCTTCTGTCATGACATGGATCATAGATGTCAGTCATGACATGGCTCATAGCAGTTTATAAGAGATGGATCATAGTTGTCTTTCTGTCCTGGATCATATCTGTCTAATATGGATCACATAACTATATGTCTGTCTTGGATCATAGCTGTCTGTCAGCCACAAGCGAATCATAGGTGTGATGAATGTGGTATATTTACTGTCTCCAACTGTAGGGATGCATCTAGGCCGCAGGATATATGCAGTTGTGTCATTACTTCCGCCAACTGAAAAGACAGTGCACCATGTTTCATTCAGATAAAGTTGATTCGGCTCACTTTGTTGAACTAGTGTAAAATATCATTCAAATAAAAATATCAATATCAAACAATATCATCCCAACATATTACCATGTCAGTCATATACTGTGACTTTTATTATGAATAAAAACAATAGTCAAAGCTTATCATCATACTATACCGAGGTATCTATGGTCAAAGTCAAATGTTCCCATTGTTTTCTTGGAATTTTTAGTGAGCATGATCACATGACAGCGTTTTCCTGCATTGCTCAAGTTGTGAGGTTATAAATATACATGTTGACCCTTGTTCAGATAGGCGTTGGCCCACTCTCTGAAATCAGTGGACCAAATCGACCAGTTTTGCAAGAAGCTGGATGCATCCCTGTAACTGCAACAATAAAATCCTCACATGACACTGCACTTGTTTTGTTTCTGCAATGCATGTTTGACAAAACCAAATGTTTCCCTTTGAATTATGTGCAAATAGATGTTTAAAGTTGCATGTATTGAACTCATGTATATTTGTGAAATTCTTCAATCAGCTCAACATGAATAGTACTAGTATCACACATTCTATTTTATCTGTAAACCAGGAGTCCACAAAACACTGTGGGGATTCCAGGGGAGAGTGGGACCCAGTATGCCATACTTGTAACAACCGACCATTTAGGATCAGAATGGGTGACTTGGCTCATTGTGTTTCATTGTGTCATTGTGGTTTGTGTCTTGTGCTTTCAGTCAATGGTTGTCTGGTAAAGCTCATATGGCTGCCATATTGTGGTGTGTTGTTCAACAACGATCACTTCCGTGCGTAACTCATGGTATGATTTGGCTTCTATATTTGATTGGTTCTTCTGATTTCAGCCGAAGGTTCGACTTCTCTAACCATGCCCGGAACCTGACGGAGGGAGTGTGGGACAAGCCCCAAGATGAGCAGAAAGTCGAGGACGAGGAGGTTGTGGAGGAGGACATGGAGGTGCAGACGTCTCTCCACAAACCCGGACGCTACTACAAGGACCAGGTGAGACAGGGAAATGTGATCCTGCACTGTCATAGTCATGATGTTGATGGAGTCTCTATTCATTCCTTTGTCACGGACCTGTGAAGGTCCGGGTTAGAATATTGATCTTCAGTAACCCATGCTTGTCGTAAGAGGCGACTAACGGGATCGGGTGGTCAGGCTTGTATACTTGGTTGACACATGTCATCGGTTCCCAATTGCGCAGATCGATGCTCATACTGCTCATGATTGTCTGGTCCAGACTCAATTGTTTACAGACCGCCGCCATATAGCTGGAATATTGCTGAGTGCTGCGTAAAACTAAGCTCACTCACGTCTTAGTCACAATATGGCTGAAATACTCACTCACTCACTCACTCCATTCATTGCTTCTGAAATATGAGTGAAATATAGTGCAAAATGTGCTGCATTGATGGAGCAAAATGTTAACATTAGGGTTCAAGTCAGTTTTGGACAGTGGAGCAGTGTTCCGTAACGCGTATGACCACCATGAGCACAAATGCAAGCTTCTACACACCTTTGCATTGACCAAATGAGCCTTTAAAGTTGCTGTTGTGGAATGTTCTGCCATTCTCTCTGTAACACCTTTTCAAGTTCATCCAGAGTCTGGGGGTGAATATGGAGTCCGTAAACACGACTTCCAATAATGTCCCAAGCACTTTTAATGGGATTAAGATCAAGTGACTTTGCAGGCCTGTCCATATGTGTGATGTTGTTGATCTAAACAACATCGTTAACTCTTTCTCGGGCATTTTAATCCATGGACGGGCATTATCATCCATAAAAAAAGAAGTTAGGACCCGCTTGTTCTACCCGAGGAATGATTACATGTAGGTTTTAACCGATCAGAAGAGTGGAGCACATTCATACCACACATTTTGCATTTTGTTTCTGAGGGTGGTTGTGTTCGGGTGGTGTTGTCAATGTTATCAGATAAATCAATTTGACAGTCACAAACGGTTATGTATTCTTTGAATATTTACCTTTCAGTAACATGTCGGCAAAAATCGCTATCGAGATTGATAAAGATATTACACTGAAAATACTTGTTGCTTAATTTTTTGTGAGGAGTATATGTTGGATGGATGTAGAGGGTGTGGTCAGGCTCTTTGACTTGGTTTAGGCAGGTCAGTGTAGCTGTGGATTGGTTTTCAGTCAGTGGATTGTGCGGTCATGAGGCAGGAATATTTTTAAGTGTGTCATTGTGTGTCAGCATTGCACCACACACACGGGCAGAGGTAGCCAATTTTCCAGAAGTAGCCAAGTTATCCTTGCGGTTGCATATTGTGCTGCAGAGTTGCATCTCTTAGTCACGCCAGAAACCTGCGATTGTTGGTACTCATCCCAGGTCCTCCTGTGAAGATTCTGGTTAGATTTGCTCCACAGAAACCCATACTTGTCAAAAGAGATGTATTAGAGTACGTCAGCAAACCTCACTCACTAAAGATGGTCATCGTATCCCAATTCCATAGATCGATGCTAATAATGTCAACCACTGGATTATCTGATTCAGACTGCATTATCTGGTTCAGACTGGATTATCTGGTTCAGACTGGATTATTTACAGACAGCCGTCATATAGCTGGAACATTGCTGAGTGATGCATTAAATAATAAACTAACAAAACTTCAAATATGACTATGATAGTATGAATCTTTTCTTCTAGACCAAAGTGGTCATCTTGTATTCATTCACTCACTGTCAGAATACAAACAGCTATTCGCTGATAGTTTTAGTTCTCTTGTAATCTTGTCACAAAAAGTAATGCTGAATTATTGCCATGGTAAAATAATTATTGTTACAGGTAACAAAGTTTTCACTTTTGTTAGAAATGTATTTTAAACCAGGAACAGTTGTGCCTGAAACTAGTAAAACAACGTTTCATCCATTTCACCATGCTGATCATACAAATGTTTGTCGTCCAAGACAGTTATATAAATCTGAAAACTGGGAACATTGAAGATGACATGATGTGAAGGATGACCCTTTCTGTGTAGTTGATGTACTCTGAGTGGCTGGTGGAAGTGCCCCAGGACCTGGAGAAGGAATGGCTTCTGGTTGTCTGCCCCACTGGAAAGAGGAGATTGGTCATAGCTGCCAAGGTTTGTCCTTAAGGGGGGATGGAGTGGGGATTAGTTTGGTATGGTTAGGGTATTTGTTCATGAAGCCTGGATCAATTCCACTGGTATCACATTTTGTGTTCAGTCTTTATTTTGCCAGAATTTCGTTGAAAGAAGCAGTTATAAATTTTACCTGCATTAACTTGATTTGGCAACAGTGGAGCTCTGTGTGTCTGAACCCAAATTGTGTGGTGATGTGTGTTTATCAACCACGTCACAGCCAACATCAGAGGGACAGGTGGTATTCGATCCCAGTGGATTATGGATAATGATTAATCTGATTATTATTCAGCAGTAAGTGTCACTTGTTGAAATAAGTGGGGTTCCACTGTGATATATCTCAGACAGGTTGTGTCAACTTAAAGTCTTTCTCTGGGCATGATAACTATCCATTATATACCAGGTAAAGTTCAACTGAGTTTTGTTTAAATTGATGTCAAAATGTCTAACTCTTTCTGTCAACTCCTACAGGGACAAACCACAGCATACTCCAAGGGCGGCTTCAAGTGCATGACATTCCCCTCTTGTCTCCCTGGAGGTAACAGAGGTCAGGGGGGAAGGGAATATATGGGGGTAAGTTGGATGTAAAAACCACAGCTATCCCATAGTTGGTCATGGAACAGAATTTGTCTGCTACTCATTGCCAGTCTCCCATTGGGATTTATAGGACATAGGTCATCCATGTAGCAATACACATACTTTGGGATTTTTTTGGAATTTCTAACACATAATTGGTCCCTATTAAAAGACACCAATCTCCCATTGGGATTTATAGGACACAGTTCATCCCTGTAACAATACACAAATATTCCAACTGGCATATGTATTGGTCCCTGCTACAATATGCATAATGTGATTCTTTTACTTTAAATTGAGAAATAAGTCCTCAGTAGATTTTCTTACCTTCCATGCTAATACAGAAACTTTTAATGATCTATGATAACATGTGATCTGTATGACTATTTCAGAGAGTACAATCCTTGACTGCCTGTACTGTGAGAAGAACAAGACGTACTATGTGCTGGACATGATGTACTGGAAGAATATGCCCATCTACGACAGTGAGGTACTTCTCTCATTGGACTATTACCCCATGCAGACTTCATGGAATCAAATAACATGTCTATATTGGTGTACATACTGAGTATCAAATGAGTCTGGTTTAGTTCAGATTGCCTTGCGTTTGTACAGTCTTGTATGTATGTTGTAATGTGATCATTGTTCGCAGACAGAGTTCCGCTTCTACTGGATGCACGAGAAACTTCAAGAGATAGAGATGGTGTCTGTGGCTAGGAAGACAAATCCAGTAAGTTGACAAATGTTTTTGATAAATATATGTAATTTCTTTTGCAGCACCTGTTAAATTACAAATGAAACATACTTGCTCATGGTAGGAATTCCAGAACTCTGTGTTCCACCAAAATCTTTCTTTGTGAACTGTCACCTAACAGGAGGGGGTGAAGCATGGACTGTTTGTCCCTCAAGAAAAGAAACTACATCTCAGATTTATGTTTCAGTACCGGTTTGTCCCACTGCCAAGCTTCCCCTGTACAGCGGTCAACATCTCTAATGCCATCTCGTATGCCAACTTTGATGTAAGCTAAAGTCGTGTTTGTTTGATTGTTTTTTAAGTAATATTCCAGCATGATAATGGTGGTCTGTAAATATTTGAGTCTGGACCACACAATGCAGTGATTGACATCATGAGCATTGTTCTTCTTATTTTTTGCCTTGTAAAATGAAAATGTCATCTCAGTTTCTGAAAGTATGTATTTAATTTGTGTATTTCATTGACAGATTGATGGCCTCCTGTTCTACCACAAGCGCACCCACTACACGTTCGGATCCACGCCGTTAGTCGTGTGGCTGAAGATGTACATGGTGCCTGATGTCCTCAACATCGCTGTCCCTTACAAGGAGGTAGCAAAGGCTCCTCAAAACTACACCAACTACGCCAAACATCTGGACAATGTCAAAAACCAAACATACGGCTCACCACCTGAAAAACCTCGACCTCAGTCTGCACAGAGGGGAAGAGGTCGTGGACGGGGGGGTCGGTCGAGGTCGTGGTGATGGGCAAGGTAGTTCAAGGAATGACAAAAGCATGGATGCATGTGAAACGGTTGAGGACAATAGTGCAGCTACCACCAGCCTCAACTTCGGGAGTCCTGATGTTAAGACGCCCCAGACTGAGAGAGGTATTATTCAGATGCCCAAAGCTTTTGACTTTGGAGCAGCTTCAACATCTCCATTTGAGTTGTCCAGTCCGGGAACGTTACCGTTGAGTGTCCCAGTCACAGAGACAGAGGCAGCAGTTGAGGGCAATTCCAGCAACTCTGCAGAGACCACTTCTCAGGGCATGGAGATGTCAGCTGACAGTGGTCAACCTGCTGGGCAGGAAGATTCAGAGAGAAAAACAAGTTCAAAGAAATCAAAAATCGGGTCGGAGGGGGGCACAATAGCAGAATGGATGTGGGGGATAGTCAGTGAGCAAGACAGAGCCATGGGAGTACAGAATCGAGTTCCTTGTGGAATCAACTTATGTTACAAACATTGTTTGTCTGAAAGGAACTGGATCAGCTGGACTGAAGTCGATGTGTGTAACCCTGGTGTATTTGAATGGATGTGGAGTGAATGACAAGAGAAGACTTGCTGTCGGGCAGTGGGGTAACCTAGTGGCTAAAGCTTTCGCTTGTCACGCTGAAGACCAGGGTTCGATTCCACACATACAATGTGTGAAGCCCAATGGTTGTCCCCCACCGTAATATTGCTGTAAATTTTATAAGCATCGTAAAACCATACTCACATTTGCTGTATGTTTACTTGGCAAGCAGAAGCCATTTATTTGTACAACCCCACAGCAGGGATTACCAGCATTAATGCTTATACATGTATGTATGTCCTGGGAATGATATGATATTGCTTTTTTTCTACTGCGTACATGGATGATAGTTTATATGTTTAAGTGTTAGTTCAAAGTTTGAACTTTCAAATATTCTTTAGGAAGGCAGGATACCAGAACTGAAAATGTATTGTGTCCCCTAGAAAGTCACTTTCCAACAGGTGGCCATTCTCTTCCCACAGAGGTTACTCCTGTCATATCTTCCTACGTAACCTCTGTTCTAATACAGCCCTTTCATGGTGTGAGCGTTCAAGACTCGTGATTGGAGGCCATCAGATTTAGTTGTGCAATCAGCGACATTGTTTCAAAAGTGATCATTCGCAAGGCCTCAGTAATTTCCGTATGCTTCGAGAAAACTAAACTTCTTCCCCTGCACGATGCGCAAACGTTTCTTCTAGACAGAACTCAGTCATGTTCTGGCGGATCAGTGGCGTCTCCATCGCCCTCGTTGACAACGGACAAGCTAGCCATTAAACGTCTTGTGTGTAACATCAACACAAGTCTCCGGCAGATGGGGGGATATTTGTGGCCCCACATTTGCTTGTGTTAGTCAAGTTAAATCTAAGTCGATGTAACACGTGTTCTTATTGGATAGAAAGAAGGGAGATAATTCGTGTTGCGATCTTTTGCCGCTAGGGGATTTTACGAGAACCGGGAAATATGGCCGTATTAGAACAGAGGTTCGTAGGAAGATATGACAAGTAACCTCTGTGGGAAGAGAATGACAGGTGGCAGGCAGACAAGTATTTCAAATCTGAAGGGGACAAGATTATTTGTCAACAGTTTTTAGGTATCCTATATTTTCACTTAAAGGTCACATGCAACGTAAAACACAACTTTGCAGATTCTGATACCTTTCGGTATGGACTTACCGAGACAAAGCGTCAAAAATGCAGATTCAACTTATAAAGTTGAAAAATAACGCGATGAAAAAAACGTTCAAATGTTTCACTAATTTTCCCCAGACTTTTCTGGGGAATACGGTTTTCAGCAGCTGGCTGCGCTCATAGCACGTGCGCAGTGAAATAGGTTCGCGCAACTTGGAAGCGGGCTGTCTGGTGAATACTCGGTGAAGGCTTTGGTGTGAGCTATTTTCATAATGTTTTGTTGATATCTCACAGGCGCGAGCTTTTTGTATGTTATGACAGTAAATAAACTGTTTATATAATTTCTTTTGTCTATTTCACCACACGTTCTTCTTACCGAGTCACTTTCTCAGTTCGATGCTTAAAAGCATTATTTAGAGTTGACACGATTTCTAACTGTGATATAGATATGTCGCTGTCACAGACAAAACTCAATGTCTTGTTTTATTGACACCAGTGTGTCTGCCTGCCTGTCTGCTAATGACAATATTCAATACACAACTGCGATCACTGACCACATGCAATTTGAACTTAACACCAATCAGGCTATACACCATAAACAAAAGCGCATTGATTTATGGCCCGAAGTTCGGTCTCTGTCACATTATGTAATTACACAGACAGGCAGGTGTGATACTTGAACACATGACATGTTATGATGTCTGTTGATTGCAAAATGTTATACACAAAAAATGAGCATGTATTTACAAAACCCAACTTTCTATATACACACACACACTGACCCGTGAAGGCGGCATCTGCTAATGAACCAGCCGTTACACTTGAGTGCACACCCACCCGCTCTGACTGGGTTCGGTATCCCGGCTGCTTCGTTTCGAGGGCGGTAAACCCAAGTACAAAATATTGCACTTTTGATTTGCGATTATACGCTTATAATTTTGTTTATTTGTTTTTTCATAATCAGCAATGCATATAATATGTCATGAAGAAGTGATAATTGTGTTTTAATTATGTTTGATTTTTTGGTTGCATGTGACCTTTAATTACACATTTGAAATTTAGAAGTGACCCTGAAAGTGGTTGCTTTTTTGTTAATTCTTTTTATTTATTTTGTGGTACGGATGTAAAAAAAGCACCAAATATTAACTATACATTGCAATTCATGATGAAGTTATAATGATACAAAGTTAGTCATACAATGGTTTGAGTAATATTTGTTAGGTATTATATTCTTCTTGTATGCATGTGATGTCTCAAGCCACTGTTTCATGAAATGACTCCATTAATTAAATATGTATTTATTTCAGACCACTATTTGTTTCCCTTGAGAACTGACTTCCTAAATACGTCATGTTTTCATTTATCGTATAATTTTTACAACTTAACTATTTGGATATGTATCACATCGCAACACTGTATCATCACTGCTCTGTTTTCAATTACGATTGTGGTAACAATGGAATGGAATAGTTACGTTAATAAACTAAATGCAGATCATCTACGATATGAGCTTACATTATGACAGCACATACATTCCATGTATCTTTGAATACACAACTAGTTGTAGACATGTATTTTCTTGTGTTGATTTCTGCTGCATCATGTCCACACACATGAGGACGACAAATGATGGTCTTGTTTCAGTTATTTTATTCTTGGGTGTGAATGCTGGGGTTACCCTGAATTCTGATCCTTGCTCTGTCACAAAGGTGAAAATGTCCAAGATAAATGGTACTATGGGTCTTTCTGTGAGACAAAACTGGCATACTGTGGCATGCATAAACTAGTGCTGCATTAAACACAATTTTATTTTGTCATTTGTTGGACATCACCTAAAATATGTTTTTTTTAAATATTTTGATTACCATTTCCTTTGTGGTACAACTTGTAAAGTAAATATATGCTGACAGTAAGCAAGCCTTATTGAAAGTGAATAGCTGAAGAAGTTGCAATTCCTCTCTTTCAGTGATGTGAAAGAATAATTTAAAAGGAATTTAGTTTTATTGTCACTTGAATGAGTATCATTGTCTTTTCTGTAATTCTTAAAATGCAGGAAAGTTTTTAAAGAATTGTTTCTTATTGTGGAGACATTTTATTTCCATGTTGGACTACAAGTTTGTATGGAAGGTATGTTTTTATTAAAGGTGACAGGTTGTTTTTGGTATCTCTGGAACAGGATTATTTTCATACATTTTCAGAAACAGTAAAAAATGGTTTGAAATGACACTTTCTTCATCAGTGAAGTACAATCTACACAAGTTTTCATGTGAATAGTATTATAATTGTTGGATAACATGTGATATGATGTTTAATTCTTTGCCAAAGTTGTCATGATGTGGACTCCAAGTCTGTTTTCTGTAATACTGAAACATTAAATTTTATAATCTGATAGTTATACTTGAGATCTTAAAACAAACATTTCATCATCTTCCTTAGAACAATGGATTTTCAAGAAATATACCTGAAGCATGGTTTTGACCAGTGGTGTGAGTTACTGTAATTTGCTGTTCAGGGCATAGGCCCCCACTGCGGGTCAGAAAATTGATAAACAAAACCCTGGTTTACTATCCAGCCCCCTCCTATATATGTATTATATATTTTGACCTACAGTAGGGGCCTATGGTCTGGTCTATATAGGAGGGGGGCTGGATAGTAAACCAGGGCTTTTGACCTGCAGTCGGGGCCTATGGTCCAGAGTTACTTCCCTTACCTGCCAGAATCTATGTGGGTTTGAATTTCACCATTTACATACTCTTGGGTTTCATCAGTGATACATCAATGACCTGCACCACTTTGTATTTATGCACCCTCTGTGGAGTTATATGAAACACTTCATGAGGGTGTCATTCACTGTTTTCTCTGACATGAAGCCAACACTGTGATCAGTTGGTTTGATGTTAAGCGAGCCTGACCACCTGATCCCGTTAGTCGTCTTCCTATGACAAGCACGGGTCGCTGAAGACCAATTATAACTAGGATCTTCAAGGGCATCACTGTGATAAGATGTATCAGCAGGCTGCTAGCCTTGTGGTTCTAGCGAAAACACTTCTGGTGTTCCCTGATGTGCCATTGCTGAAATACTGCAGAAAGCAGCTTAAAACCATACTCATTCACTGTGGTGGTAAGGAAACACACATGAAGAGAAACATCAAAGCACAAATTTCTCTCCCATTGGTCAAGATCAAATGGTTTCAGTAAACAGGTTGCACAGCTAACTTGAGTCTTCAGTACTTCCGAGTGATGTAATAAGTCATGTAAGTTCAGACCATTCAAAATGACGGAATTTGTTTTTAGTAACAGCTGTGTGGTTCTGAATGTAGATTATGTCCAGATGTTTGACATAACATTCATTGTGTATGAAGCTTATGATCAATATTTCTCTCTGGTGCTGTGAGTTTTAGAGCAGTGTATGAATGTCATTGCAATAAATATTTGCTAACAACACTTTCTTTTTTGTTGTTGTTACATTCACCAAATAAAGTGCTTGGGAGAGAATGATCTGTTTTATGTTGATCAGTTGTAAAAATGATGGCAAAAGTGTAAAGGTAAGAATGGATGGTGGAAATACGAAACTACACCACTACAACAACAGTTGTATTCTATTACATGTGGGAAAAATGTTTTATGGCATGATATTGAAAACTAAAATCAGTTCCAACCAAATGAACAGTGGGAACAAGCATCTGAAGTTTCAGCTTCAGTGTTCTAGAGGCTTCTTGGGGAGAGGTATTTACATACAGGCTATGACACAGGTCACATAATATACTTCCTAATTTGTTAAGACTTCAAGCAGAAGTGTAAACCCACCTTGCTCTATCAGAACAAACACAGTCATCTCCGATATTCCATTGACTTTATTGTACTGCACAATGTCAAAGATGTAACATTTCTGGTACAACATGAATAATAAATCAATAAGACATTCAAACAATGCTGAAAGTAAAAATATATTTGTAATAATATAAATGATTGCATTCTCGGTCAGATTTACAATAATTTGTGACTCTTCTACCCTGTCCATACGGCGACGCCTCCTCAAACCCCTCTAATTCTAGGTACCAAACCCCCTTATACGCTGCAATATACAGCGTCTCTTGTAACATGTCAGCAATTCAGTTTCGACACAAATAGCTGAAAAATTGCTGGTGAAGTAACATTGAACGGTTTTAAAGTTCTGCTCCGGAAAAGAGCGCACCAACACCATTTTCAGTGAAAGTCAAACTTACTGCCATGGAAATGCAGAAACCCAAAAGTTTCAAAAGACACCAGTTCATGACCAGATCTATCCATGTACCAAGTTTGGTAAAGAAACATTGTATGGTTTTAAAGTTCTGCTTCGGAAAAGAGCACCAACATCAATTGCAGTCAAAGTCAAATTGCCATGGAAACACAAAACATGTTTTATTCAGATATCCAAAAGTATCAAAAGGCACTAGTTCACCACCAGGCCTATCTATGTGCGTTTGGTAAAGAAATATTGAACGCTTTTTATGTTCTGCCCCGGAAAAGACGAATTTGTATGGACGGTTGGACAGAGTCCAAAATAATAACCTAGCAAAATGTGTTGCAGGGGATAAAAATATTGAATTGTGCTGATCAGTGTTGAATGTTATCAGGTCATCTCTTGCAGTGAGTGAGTCAAGATTTGTAGTCACAACGGCAATATTTCAGCATAAAATGACTTAATAAGTTATAAATTCAGAATAAACACAATTTAATTATAGAAAAACCTGTTGACGAAGGACTGTAAAATAACAAGATTATTACAGGTAGAGAATTAAAACTAGCGTGTAACTAAATTAAATTAAACAAATATTATGGACAATACAATATTAAAACAGGCTGGAGATCTTCCTTCTTGTGTTTATGAAGGGGTGACCATATTTCCAGACACTCCTTATAATTAAAGGTTGTAAGGTTGAGATATTACCCAAGATCTTGAATATGTAGGCTGCCATAATCTGACTAGTAAATGTCTGAACTTGGTTCATGACGTGTACAGGTGAATTAATTCATGTGGTCACCATCACCCATATACTGTTTATCTGAACAAAACAAATTACAATTATCAATAAAGTTGTACCAATTAAAAAATCAAATGTGTAATCTTCAGTGCTGATATATACAGGCATTATCTGTGATTAGAGTAAACATTTTCAATTAACGGAGTAAAAATAGTTCAGAAGTGAAAGAATCATTGCTAAAGAAGCCAGGAAGTACTATGGGAAGATTCTGTCGACAAGCCTTCTCGAGCTTCAGTTTTCTGTTTAAGTTCCATTCAAATTCTCATCATATGTAAGTAGTGATTTTACCAGTGTAGTTGTTTTAAATTAGATTTGTAAATTTGTAAATTTGTCCCTGAACAACTAAAAAGCAACAGTTCTCGTTTGTGACCATGCCCTGCCTCATCCAGAGTCACAGGTGCATCTATGTGTGTACCTTACACTGCGCATCTAAAACTTACATCCCTTTGTAGCATAACTGGTTTATACTGGATGTGATACTGCGCTGGCATGTGTGATAAATTTGTGATAACATGCCTGGAAACATTTATTCCCACTCAATCACCAGTGGACTCTTTCAACATCCAGCCTCAGTTATGACACGTCACTTTTCACGGATCTGCTCAGACGTTTCTCACACTCCTCGATAACCAACGCTACAATGTCATCAACGCTGATGTCAATGGAAACAGTTACAGCCTCTTCAGACTTGTCTGGTTCTTCTAGTAGAGCCAGCTGTGAATCCAGGAGAGATACTGGCATAAAGTGTCCCGAACGACCTTCCATACGTTTAATAATGAGGTCACGGTCTCCCTTCAAATATACAAACAGAACAGGAAGCTTCTCAGCACCTTTGTCAGCAGTTACCTCCCCTGAAGTGAGAATCCCCCGATACATTTTCTTCAGTGCAGAACATGTGACCACTCCATTGTTTCCTTCTGTGTTTAACCTGTGGAGGAAGTGATGGACTGTTGACTTAAATAAACAGCATATAACTGTTTCAGTGAAATTTGGGGTGATGGGGTACCTTAGCTCAAAATGCTGAACCATTGTTTTATTACTTCCTTCATAGGTCCAGTGGGTGAAGTCGCTTTCAGATGTCCCCTGGGGTGATATTGCTGTAATATATAAATAAAATACTAAACGATGTCCCGTGTAATACTATATTTATGGAATGAGTGAATGTCTTGGTACCAATACCATTCACGAGTGTCATGTATGGTATTATAAGGGACATGTTATTACTTATTACTCACCCAACATTAGCACATTGTTTAGTATTTTATTGACTACTGAGTTTGGGTTTACCAACATTAGCAAATTCCATATAAATATCACCAGAATTCACAGCTTACAGAACAAGCTTTACATTATGCCATTATAACAGGGGTCATGCACATTGATGATTGTCAACATTCGCTATTTAATCTGAGTTATCAAAAATAAACACGCAGGTATGAAAATGGGACCCAATGACTTCAAACAACATATCACTTTTTTTCACATAAATGCTATTACACGCAACCGAGCAAAGAAAAGTTTAAACATCTTTACTACGAAATGCAAAGAGTGCATTACGCCTGAACACCTGGGTCACGCAAGTGCAAATAGTTCCAGCAGCACACAATGTTATTACACAATTTGTAATAACATTGTAGGATTTATTAAAGGGTGGTATCTCCAACAGGTGGGTAATGAACGAGGGACTTCAATATGAGCTCCAGTAGCTATAATTACTGTATAGACTGAGACACTCAGCAATATTCCAGCTATATGGCAGCAGTCTGTAAACAAACAAGTCTGGACCAGACAATCCAGTGATCAACAGCATGAGCATCGATCTACACAATTGGGATACGATGACATGTGTCAACCAAGTCAACGAGCCTGACCACCTGATCCCATTAGTCACTTCTTACAACAAGCATGGGTTACTGAAGATCAGTTCTAGCACACATCTTCACGGGTCAGGGTAGGTTACAAGCAACCTATGCTAGTCACAAGAGGCGATCAATGGGAACGACAGGCAGTCTTGGAGACTTAATAGTTATACCTTTACATCAGTCACTGTATGGTCCAGACTTCATTATTTACATATCGTTGCCATGTAACTGGAATACTGTTGACTGTGGCATTCGATAACAAACAAACAAAACAACACAAAAGATAGACATTGAGTATGAAGAGTGTTTAAATACAATTTTCAGTAACAGTACTTACGTTTTAATGTATTGGTGGATGGATGTCAACCAGGGAATTCGGTCCTGCAAAAAACAATTCTTTATCAACATTCTCACATAAGTGAGTGAGTGAGCTGGGTTAAATCCAGCTTTGAACAGTTTTCAGTTATATCACTGTGTGTCAGTATAAACCATGCCAGAGACTATACATCAACAGTCTCTGAACACAGATTCTGAACACACTGGTCTCTGAAGACAAGCTCTGAACACACAGGTCTCTGAACATAGATTCTGAACACACTGGTCTCTGACGACAGGCTCTGAACACACTAGTCGCAGAACACACTGGTCTCTGAACACAGATTCTGAACACATTGGTCTCTGAACATAGATTCTGAACACACCGGTCTCTGAACACACTGGTCTCTGAACACACTAGTCTCTGAACACACTAGTCTCTGAAGACACCGGTCTCTGAACACACTAGTCTCTGAACACACTAGTCTCTGAACATCTCTGAACACACTGGTCTCTGAACACACTGGTCTCTGAACATACTGGTCTCTGACGACAGACTCTGAACACACTATTCTCTGAAAACACTGGTCTCTGAACACACCGGTCTCTGAACACACTGGTCTCTGAACACACTGGTCTCTGAACACACTGGTCTCTGAAAACACAGGTCTCTGAAGACAGAGCTGACAGACTCTGAACACACTAGTCTCTGACGACAGACTCTGAACACACTGCTCTCTGAACACACTGGTCTCTGAACACACTGGTCTCTGAACACACTGGTCTCTGAACACACTGGTCTCTGAACACACTGGTCTCTGAACACACTGGTCTCTGAACACACTGGTCTCTGAACACACTGGTCTCTGAACACACTGGTCTCTGAACACACTGGTCTCTGAACACACTGGTCTCTGTACACACTAGTCTCTGAACACACTGGTCTCTGAACACACTGGTCTCTGAACACACTGGTCTCTGAACACACTGGTCTCTGAACACACTGGTCTCTGAACACACTGCTCTCTGAACACACTGGTCTCTGAACACACTGGTCTCTGAACACACTAGTCTCTGAACACACTGGTCTCTGAACACACTGCTCTCTGAACACACTAGTCTCTGAACACACTGGTCTCTGAACACACTAGTCTCTGATCACACCGGTCTCTTGACGACAGACTCTGAACACACTAGTCTCTGAACATACTGGTCTCTGCAACACACTGGTCTCTGAAGGCAGACACTGAATACACTGCTCTCTGAACACACTACTCTGATTGTAGCTAATGATTGCTACGATCGCTTTGAGGAACAGGGCCCAGATCAGTTGTAAGCCCTACGATCAACTTTATAATTATCGTAAATAATAATATATTGTCGTTCCTGAAAGCTATTGTAAGGGAATTGTAAGTATCGCAATTGTAATTCTTTCGATCGTAAATTACAATCGTGATCTCCTGTGCGAAAGTTAGAAATAATTGCTTTGAGGAATAGGGCCCGGGCCCACTTGCACAGAACGATCTTAGCGCTACAATTATTGTTAATCTTTAAGATCGCGATCTTAGGCTTCGGCTGCAATCGCCATCCACTTGCACAAAGCGATTGTAGGCTAAAATCATTGTAAGTTACAATCTAAACCTACAGTTGGTCCGGACCAATTGTAAGGAGCTGAGATCATTGTAGTCTGTGTAAAATTGCGTTCAAGTTAGTCACTGTTGCACGCAAATAATCAGCTTTATGTTTGGAGATTGCTTTTAAATTGCATAAAACTGTATGATTCGTTCAACAACACGGAGAACGCACCACCGATTTAAGGTCAGATACACCGTTATTTGCGGTAGTGAACTACATAACTATCGAGTCGATATCATAATGTACTATCCCCACTCGGTTCAGTGTTGGAAGATGTGTGAAACAACATACCTTTTGGATAGAAACGAAAGGTGTCTGCATTTGAATAGTAATGGCCGTGACCTTTTCAATAACTCAAGGGCAGCTAATCTTAGTTTTACGCAAGATGGGAGTGGTTTCTCTTGGTATGTTATGTCATGCTCTGCCATGTCCAATGCATTAAAGTTGGAGATCTCCACATATATTTTTCCCGGTCACATTTGTGTCTTTGAATTTGTCTTAGTTTATAATTAAAATAATCTACAATGAGATAACGCGCAAAATCAAGTTTCTTTCTCTCATTTTAAATATAAAATTGAGTCGGACGAGAGACGAGGGTTTTAATCTATGCATTTTAGATATAATACAAGTATTCATCAAACAGGAAAATACACTTGCTAATGCATTTGAAATTTGTGTAAAAAGGAATTTCACAATAAGAAAAAATAATTATTAAGTCACTAAATCTAGACCCAAATTTATTACTTTTTTTTTTCTTGTAATTCAATATTTTCAAAAATCACAGGTTAGGTATTTCTGGGAGTTGCAATGTCTTTGTTCATAAATCAAGACAGTTAGAATGTAGAAAAATGTGTGTTATCTTCCACATAATCTTTTCCTTCAAACATTTGTGGGATTTTTTTTCATGAAAATTCTGCAAGGTGCGATTGAGGGAGGTATGTGTTGTGTGCAGTAACCAGTTCCACTCTTTATTTGCGCAGCATGTTATGCGCACTTGCAGACAACTGTAGACAGGAGTCGAGTTCAAGAAATTCCTACCTCCACCGTTGAATAGTTCGATCTTAGTCAAGATCGCGATCTTAAATCCATGCCGTCTTACAATCACGCTAAGATCAGCTTTGTGCAAGTGGATTAGGGCAATTGTATGGTGATTGTAAAGTTGATTGTAGGGGCCTAAGATTGATTGTAACTAAGATTGCTTTGTGCAAGTGGGCCCTGGAACCCACTATGTTCTAAGGTGTAATGTCATCATTACAAGCTTATGTCACCGCTTTTCTACTTTTACAAAAAGATAAAGGGTAAGCTCCATTTGGTTGGTTTGTTGTATGACACTGTCTGTAATTAATGTGCCAGACAATCCAGTGATTGAACATCAATATATTCAACTGGGATACAATAAACAAGTCAGCGAGCCTGACCACCTGATCGTGTTTGCTACATCTTATGACAAGCATGGGTTGCTGTGGACCAGTTCTAACCCTGATCGTATCGTATGACAATATGCTTCTTTAAGTTTATTCATGATCCTTTCACATCTAAACCTGGTCTCTAGTAGCTTTTCATAAATAAGCACAGCTGACAGAATTTTGAAGACAACTTATACTGTTTATACCAGGAAGTTTTGTACATGCTATGCCACATCTGAGGGGAATCTAGCACTCATCATACATTTAGGTCAAGGCCATAAGAGGTCACACAGTTCATAAGAAATCAATTTCAGTTATGTACATTTATTGCCATAAAAGAAATAAAACACAAAAAAATATTTTTCCTAGGATTGGAAAATAATAATTATGAAAAAGCACTTTTGAAACAGTTGGTAGCCTATGTGTCGGTCTCCACCCACCTCGTCTGTAAGTGGTATAGACTTGCCCATCTTCACCTTGTTGGCCTCAGGATGGAAATCATCAGCATCAGCAAACTGCCACTGCAGCTACAAGCCAGATGGAGGGAGATTTTACTCACCTTCAAACAGTTACAGTCAACTTTCTAAAACCGGGCTTTCCGTAAAGGAAATGATGAATCAGTTATTCATTGTGCATCTACATAAACAAGGTATAGAGACGCTGTAGCTTTCCTCAGTGTCTGGTTACTGGAGGTTACATTATTAAAAATATAGAGCATGAAAGGTTAGTGAGTGAGATGAGCAAACACATTAACCACTAGGCTACCCCACCACCCCTCATGAAGGGTTAAAACTTGAGATGTACGAAAGCACCACCTCTGTTAGGACACCTGCAAATTACATGATATATAAACTTACAACTGTGTTTTCTTTGTTAGTGAACACTAGTCAGCAAGATTCTAGCTGTACCACTGTGACTGATAAAAAAAGTCAAACCAGTGGTCGATGTCATGAAGTCAATGTTCCACAAGTAAAATACCACAACCAGCCAGGTTACAAAGTTTGACCAGCAGATCCAGTCTAGTCACCTACCATAACAAAAATCCTTTGGACTGACACCAACCCACATCTCCTGAGCAATAAGAAACATGGCATCATGATGGCTGCTTGTACCACAGTTCATTGATACATTGTTACACATAACAACACTTGGTTTTCTAGGCATACTGTTTGTATTTTACCTTTTTAGCCATGGCTTTTCCTACTGTGGTTCTGAAAGTGGCAAAAAGAACAATAGCAAGTTCAATGGTAGTATCACTCACATTTCACGGCCATGACAGAGTAACTATTGCCAAATAATAGATCGGCCATGACAGAGTAACTATTGCCAAATAATAGATCAGCTGTCTCTTAACATCATTTGAATAGAATATATATCCAATATCAAACAAAACCTGCAACAAAAAATCCCTAAATTACATTCACCATCAGCCAGAAGCAGTGAAATACTTTCATCATATATTTTTACCTACTGAATTACTATTTTTATAAATGACAATAGATACATGATCTACTGGCAGGAACACCAAATTAGCAATGTGTGTACACTTGCACAAGTTTCTAAGGTAAATATCAATAGTTTAAATGATTATTTCTAAAACAATAATAAATAACAGACTGGGGTCCTGTACTGTCCCCATATCTAGACTTGCCTCTTTAAAGGATAGAATTACTATACATGAATGGACTTAGCATTCAGTACAGCCTTGGAGCAAGGCTACAATGTGTAAAATTCTAATCGTTTGACTTGTTTAAGGAAGAGATCATGCCTTTTAACAGCTGGAAATATATACTTAGCAAGATGACAAACAAGACTACATTGTAAGCTGAGGGAAGGTGGAGGATGAGTAGGTTTGGAATGGAACGTAGGTAAGTGTCGAGTGTAGGTGTGGAGAGGTTAGCAGGTGGTTCAATTATCATTTGAGTGAGTGAGTATGGTTTTACGCTGCTTTTTAGCAATATTCCAGCAATATCACGGCGGGGGACACCACAAATGGGCTTCACACATTGTATCCATGTGGGGACCCGGGTCTTCGGCGTGATGAGCGGGACGCTTTAACCACAAGGCTACCCCACCGCCCCAATTACCATTTGAGGGCAGAAAGTCTTAAACAACCATAGAAGGGGCAATCCAACCAAAAATGGTTCTCTGATCTTTATGTACAGGTTACACAAACAGGGCAGTGTCTCTTCTCTACAGTGACCCATCATACTTCCTTTCTCTAACAGCAAATTATAACTAATTTTCCTTATACCATGTATTGTTTATCACTACTGTTTGCTATATTTCTGTAATATCATGGCTGGGAGCACTAAAACTAAGTTTCACACAATGTACCCATGTGGAGAATTGAACCAAGGCCTAAGTTTATGAGAGAATGCTTTAACCTCTAGGCTACCCTATGCAATGTTCCTGAAAATTTTGGTTTGAGAAACAATCAGTACATTATACAAGAGATACTTTACAACAAGTTCAATATACAATTTGATGAAGAAAATTTCAAGGTTTTGGCAAAATTCTTGTAATCACCTCATTTCCTTTATACAAGTGTTCCACATGGGAATCTAATGAAGGGGAAGTAACTCTTACAATCCTATCATGCATACCTAGGTCTGGTATGTAAACTTCATTGCTGAAGACTTAATCATTTGAAAAAACATGCCTTTTTCACGTTTGTTGAAGCAAATTGTTACCACACATGTGTATGGATAATTAGGACAGCCACTGATATGCCTACATCATTATGTGTAAGATATATCAGTATGTGGATGGCTAACAGGAAGTTGGAGATTCTCCCATTTCAAACTTCCCACTATATTACAGTATGCTAATAGTATTTCATGTGAGCAGTGTGTGTGATACCTAGCATCAGTAAGATTATAGCACATGGGTCTTCCTGTATGAGAACTGCAATTCACTAAACCAACGACAAAATTAGACCAGAATATCAGCTGCATTTGCCAGCAAAACATACGTTTAGCTTTTTGCAACTGCTGAAAGATTGTATGAGGGAATGGGGATTATTTTTATCAAATGATGTTTTGAATATGATTTCCTATATAATCAATTTATTATCGGTTTAAGTGCTATGAATCATGGTTGGTATAAATTCTGTGCTTTTTGTCAACTTAGCTTTCCATCTTTATTGTGAGATTGAAACTAAATCTCAGCATTTCTCTTATAGTCCGGCTTTTGAATTTCTGTTTTCAAAAATGAAAGCCTATCACTTTTCCCTAAGCTTTCCAACCCTGACTATGGAAGATGAAGAGCTCAATATTTACGTGTTAACTACATCCTACAATTTGTCACTATATTGTATATTGAAATTAATTTAAAAGAGTGATCAAGTTTAGTTTTACACCGCACTCATTTAAAAGAGGCATTTACATGTCAGTCTGATACTCTTAAGTCAAATATTGTTAAAATTAAATTTGTGTGCCCCATAAAACAAAGATCGATAGAATCAGACCACCTGAATCAAACTGGTTTTTGGTTGTGGCATGAAACTTATTCATTCTTATCGTAAGTGAGTGAGTGAGTTAGTGAGTTTGGTTTTAACCTCCTTTCCGGGGGACACCAGAAATGCTTAAACCACTAGGCTATTCCTATTGTGAGTGCGTTAGGTTTAATGAAGCTTTAAACACTATTAGAGATTTATCGTGGCATGTTAGCTTAATGTGGGAGGAACGACTGAAGTAATACTGATTTCAGACATTTACCACTGTGGTACTGACAAACCAAGAAACATAAATGAAGTGAGTGGGATTCAAACTCATGACTCTCCCATAGTGGGTGAATGTCTAATACTGCAGTGAACAAACCCACACCATGTCAGGACCAGGGAGACGTGTAACTGAAGACATGGGCAGCAATCCACTAAACTACACACCACTAGCAGTCACAGGCAGTCAGCCCGGTCATAGGGCCTGATCACATTCGTCCTTCTGCTCCTTACTCCAATTTTCAATTCTTACTTTGGAGAACAGTCATTATGGGATGTAATTGTCACCTTACACCATAAATCTATTTATCTTATGTCTTGGTTCTTTGCAATAAAAACTCTTCATGGGCTGGTATCTAAACCTGCTTGTACCCAACGTCATCAGCAAATGTCAGTAAATAGTGAAACATTCCCAAATCATGTCAGTACAGCTCATTATTGTGTCAAGTTGTTGTCTACTAATATCAGGACCCAATAATTAAATGACGACAAATAACATGTAGGTTTACCACCAAACAAGGGTTACAGCAAGAGAGTAGTAATCGCTGTATTGCATGAATGTCTGAAATAAAAACTTATGGGCTGACACTGTATTGCTTGAATGTTTGAAAAAGAAATTATGGGCTGACACTGTTTTGAGGATACGAACGGATCAAACTTCATTGTTACACAAGAAATATATATAAGCGTTTGCTGTGTACTTAGTTAAAAACTGTATATACCTAAGTACCTAAGTAAAATTTCAGAATGTTTTGGGCAATGGCAAAGTGGGGTTGTTTAGTTTATGGATTCAAATATACTACCCATCAAAAGTTTAGACTCACTAGTGTAAATGTAGCCACTTACTTGTCCACTGTTCTAAACTAGCTTTTTGCAAAATATTCCATACTGTTTAAAGGTACTGTTTAGTTATGAACTGGTGTATTGTAAAACATATTCGTAACATTGAAAAGATTATTGTCATGAGTTCAGTAAATGATTAAAATCTGTGAAAATTGGCGAATTCTTAACAAAACTTTACACCAAAACGCATCTGTTCACATGCACGACATTTGCTCATGCCTTTCGCAATTTGAAGCATCATCCTTGTGCAATTCATCTGCATAAGGTTTTCAGTTGGTTCCCCCAAGTTGGTGGAGAAATTCATCTTCGATGTAACCACATACATATACATAACATATAGTGAGTGCTTTAAGTGAGTCTAAACTTTTGATGGGTAGTATATATCAAATGTGTGTTTTTGATATCATAGCATACGTAGTACATATCATATTTTTTCATGATTAAATATCGAGGTAAAAAACACAGAAATACGATCAACTATTGGATCAGTCACTATACCATCCAAACATTTGAAAATCTGAAAAAGCCTACACTTCTGGGATACTTTATTACAATCAGAAAAGGACTGTAGGGGATATTTTAAAAAAACGGCATCTGATGGGCATATCCACCCTTCCTAATGTCCCACTGATTAGGTTGAAGAAATTCTGCCAAGGTGGACAGTAGCCGAGTCCCCGTGTCCGTCAGGGTCAAGGGAGCAGGGGCTGACCAGTTTGCAGCTAGGTTTCGTAATTAGACTGTTGGCTGGAAACATTAATCGCTCTGGATCAGTGGCCCTTTAATGTTGAAAGGTCTCTAAATCTAAGGAAATAGAAAGTCTGAAGTTTGCACAAAACGACAATTTTATGGCCCAGTTTGCATGCCAACTTCTTATTTTGAAATCCAAGATACCTCCCTTGCATATGTGTACAGGTTACAATCAGTGCCTGAAATTGGGTGCAAATGAGATATGGTGTGAATAATTTGGTTAATTATCAGTTACTTCTAGATTGGTGTGGGTTGTTAAACTCTTAGCAGCAAATATGAGTTCATTGTTATTCAGATGACTTTTGTAAAACTGTAAATTGGTCCAAACTTTATTTACACCTTATTCCTAGTATAACATGTGGAGGACAAATAGGTCACAGTGTTTAGTACCCAAGTACTTTAGTGACTTATCAAAACTGTTAAAGTTTTTGTTATAAATATTCCGAATCATTTCAGTGACTGTGCACATTTCCAAATTGTACCATATATACGAAAAAATATGGAGTCGATTATTCATGACAAACACCTCGTACTGCGATGACCTTATACTACCAGCATGCGCGTGGATAGCGTGCGCAACGTGCTCACAGAACCATTACTTGTCCATTAATCCTGATTGACACTGTGCGGTACATGCGGAGAAATCGTGCTCAGTGGAATATTGAGTGATTTGACAGCTGCGCTACAGCTTCCGCGCACGTTGCGTCACCATCGCTGCAGCACGTGCACTTGAGTTGTATATTACATACTTGCCACACCCACAAACCCCCATAATGATTAAAATCATGGTGCTATCTCTGCCTCTTCTATGGTAGTCTATTTCAGCCTGTCGTGGTTGTCTGTTCAAGGCCGTAGATGCAGTAGACTACCTGAGCCTGTTTACCACGTGTTACATTCCGGAATCCGTCTCAAAACGAGGCAAATGCCGCACAAAAAACTAAACGCATCGCATATCTGTGTTCACCAATACATTAGAGACAAATACAATGTATATTAGATAACAACGTGCCAAATATATCGTACACTGTTAAAATTTAACGGCAAGAGCACTGGCACCTCAAACTCAGCTGATAATCGGCTCGAGCGTGCCGTGGAGCACCTGCCGTGACCGTTGACCCTTGACCTAGCTGAGTCATGTGACCTGCTTCGCTCTCCATCTTGAAACAAGGTTGGAGATTCATCGACAACTTGGATGCGGTAGCCAGCCTTGCTTTTCTTCTCTCTCTCGCGACAGCATCTTTTGTGTGGATTGTTCACAAAACCGGATAAAATGTTCCGGAAAAGAAGTACGAAGGGTGAAGTTCAAACGGAATACTCATGTAGTATCCGTTTTCTGGACGATTCGGAACCAATTCAACTAAATTTCAAGGTATGTAACTGTTCACTGACAGAGTGCAACTGTGCATTGAGCAGATGTTTACCGGTGCTATTTAGTAAACAAAGGCAAGGCTTTAGTGGTCTTTGAAACTGACAACACCCATCTTCACACTGTTTTACGTAGCGTTACACTGTGCAATTATCAATATCTTCACCCCGATCAAAGACGCTTTCAAACGGCCTTGTATGGATATGCACACACCAATTTCAATTTGAGGCGCGATTTCGTTAACAGTGGTAATCGCTCTTCAAAGAAATCTAACGGGCTGCGCCTTGGCGTTTTGCAGAAATGTGTGCATTTGCTAGGGACGTCACATCTGCAAGCAAACTAGCTAACGAAATTGTTTTTCACGGCCTGTGAACATTCAGGCCAGTCTGAAAGTTTTAGAATAAGTCAAATACGCACAGTAGTTGTAGTGTATCCGAGTGTAACGGTGCACTGTTATGTTTTCACCGTAACTGTAGCAGAGGCTATCTTTCGGGACTGATATTCCAAAACAATGCAGGAACATTTCTATAGGTGCAACATTGTTAAACACTAAACAGTATTCTTTCTTCACTTCCTAATATAGTTTACATGTTATTTGATGCAGTTCTATGTGTTAAAGGATATTTTTGCCAATAGGTTTGTCATTACTCTTTCACTGAATTTTATAAACCAATGTACTGTTGCTTCTAAATAAGGTTAAATTAAGAATTCCCAATCAGTATAACAACTTGTAACAGTGTACATTAACATGGTTTGAAACTACTGTTCTCTAGGTCTATCAAGATAACATTGTTTGAATTTATACTCTCTTATTGATTGAAACCTGAGTCAGAAATTCATTGCACACATAGATTAATTGCACGCTGCAGTGATAAAATGCTGTTATACTGTAAATAGCTTTGGCTACTTGGACACATTAACCATAGTCTGAAACTAACATGATACAGGTAAACTTGATTTCAGTTAGGTAATACATTGTTATTTACAGTTTCTCTAAATCATCTGAAACATATTTTAATGATGTGAGCCTCAAGTGTTTGGGCACCATTGTTTGGCTAAATATCTTCATGTATCATTCCTGTATATATGTTCACCTGTACACCAGTACCCAGATTTAGATGAGACAAAGGTTTAGCTATCCTTCTGCTCCGTGTGAGACAGAGATATGCAATATGTCCCCTATGAACTTTGATACCCCCAGATATCATCCCTCTTGAAAAGTAGACGGTAAAATGTTTAAGACTATTTAAAGACTATTAGTGGATATTCCATGCATCAATGTGACATGAACAATCACATTTATTCGTTCTCTGTTTGATCATGTCTATTAATCTTTAAATAGGCTTTGTATTGTAAACAACAGGAATAGGATATTTATACTTTAAATTATAACCACTGAACTAAAGGAAGTGACATGTTTTTCTGTTCATTGATATTTTCTTATCATAGAGGATAAAAGTGTTTGTGCCTTCCTTTTATACCAGTAACCATGCTCAATATTATCCTGTGGTCTAGGAAATATATCCCACAGCACTACAATTGTAAGTCATCCATATCATTTTGTGGTTAGGTACACATCCGCATACAAAAGGCCAGACACAGTTAGTGCAAGACATTTCCAGAACAATGCCAGTGGAATATTTGTCAAATAGTTAATGGGCGTGGGGGTAGTCTAGTGGTTAAAGCGTTGGCTCGTCACGCCGAAGACCCGGGTTTGAATCCCCACATGGGTACAATGAGTGAAGCCCATTTCTGGTGTCCCCCGCCGTGATATTGCTGGAATATTGCTAAAAGCGGCGTAAAACCAAACTCAGTCAGTCAAATAGTTAATTTTGTACATGGGTGCATGTGGAGAAAATGGCAGTTACTGGTCCTGTTGATGCCTCAGTAACTTGTTATGGTCATTCCATTTTTCCAAACTGCTAGGGACAACTCCTTTCCCTCTTGCCCCACCCTGGCAGTGACAAGGAGCTTGTGAGTAACGGTGCATCAGGCTTGTGGGTGTGAGCAAACATTGTCCGCCCACTCAAAGCTGAACGGCCTCTGTACATGAGCTCGGCCCCCAAAAAGTAAATATCCACTGTGAACTTGCGGGTTTAATTCTCTCCAGCTTTGGTTTGAATTATTATGTCATGTTGGGGCAAAATGGATCATTAGCTTAAAAGAAAATGTCACGGAAACTGGCAGATGTGCACTCACCAGTAACTGGGATGAAAGGCCTGAATTTTCCTTGGGATGCATTGAATTTTCCTTGGGATGCAACTCATTTGCATCTTTTCCAGTATATTAACTTGTTTGACAGAAATTTTGTTTTGACTGTTGTTCTAAATTGAAAAATTAAATTGAGTTACAAAACCAGTTCAGAGGGAGCACAAGTGTGAATCATTGAAGTTTTTATACCATTTCATCAGGAACAGTTAAAAAATGTAGACATTTTCCAATCAAGAAGCGTTTGTGTTTTAAGCTGGCTAAGAGCTGATTTATTATTCATTAGGACTCAATTGTCTGTGTTGTATATACAACATCACATGATGCAGCTGTTCATTGGAGCTGTAAACCTGCCCAGAATATAATGACAGGGGCCCTAAGGAATTGAAATTACGTTGAGGTAGTAGGACAATGGCATTGCAGTAGTGTTACCGGTACATGTGGCTTTCTAAAGCTCCCACCCTCCCCCATTTTACACCTGATACAAATGTTACCACTGTAACCAGATGTAGGTTTGATTACCCTGAGCTAGGTGGTGAAAGGTATTTCATTGCCAAGGGGTATTCTTTAGGGGGAGATTGGTATTGGGGCCAACATTGATGGCCAGCGATGCGGAACACTGGTGGTCACCAGTTTAGCAGCCAGGAGTTGCTCAGATGTTGATAGGATAGCAAAAATGTTTGTGTCAAAAGTTCAAAAAGCTGGGTGTTTTTATTCAAGGGGTGCAAAGTTGAAAAACATCATGGTTATGATGCTGGATCAAATTGTATGGGGATTACTTTTCAGTGTTAATTACACATAATACTAGTATGTACCAAACAGTTGCTGTAGTTTCATGGAATCATAATTTTGTGTAAAAAGAAACAATGCAGTTTTGAAAACAGGTGAAATCGGAACCATGCCATTATTCTCATTAATAGGCCCAATCTGTCTGAGGCAGTTGTTGTGAAAATAGTATGACTGATTGTGCTGTACTGTTGTGAGAGATAAAATCATTTTTTGTGAGATGACATAATTCGAAATACGGTGCAACGTTAAATAAATAGTATATGTTTTGCCAAATTTCTTATCAGAAAACGTCAGCATAGAATTAGACGGTAGGGGTGTGTATCTGATGTATGAGATGTTGCATTCCCAGAGCAAGAGTTAGTTGTGTGTGTGCCGAGCGCAGGTGCAGACCATGCGTTTACACCGTGGTGCGAGTGTGCCTGTGGTGTGCGTGTGTGTATGTTGGACTATGCAGTCTCATAGCAAACAAAGTGTGCATCTAGGGTGGCTGTGATTCCTACACCCAAAACTGAACATCTCCCTACAAGCAAGGTTTACCCCGACTCACAAACATGGGGGTCCGGGGGGACCCCTAATTATAAGTTTTAGGGGTCCTGTGAAGTGACAGTGTTGAGAACTGTACGTTTCGATCATTTCTTCAGAGCCTGGAATGAATCATTGATCATATGGACTGGTGGATGAAATGATGCATGTAACTGTTCTGATAGAAACAACCAAACACTTTACAAAGTCAAAGATATGTTGTGGGTACACTGAATAATATTGTGCATCCCTCAGGACGCGGTGAATGTTTTTTCTGCATCCATTCTCTACATTTGTGCGTACTGGACACACATTTGTGTGTCGTGTAAAACCCTGCTACAAGCATGTCATAAGCAAAAGCTCCACTTTGTTGTAAGTTCGTCGACATCCCTGTAATCCCTGTCTAAGTGTGAACATCATGTTGTCACAGATTAACTTCAGGGTCAAGTTCACATTCTCAAAGTGATGCTAATGGTGTGCTAAGTTCGTCTCTAAAGAGTTTAACATGACCAAATGGTAATGGTCACTTGACAATGAAAAGAATGATTATATGTATAAGAATTTTATTCAGTATATGTTACTTATTTCCTAGAATGTCTGTGGGACCTCCTGTAAGGTTTGGTTTTGTGTGTGTCTTAAAGATTTTTGATGGGATAATCTAGACTATTGGTATTCCTGCTATAACTTTTAATCTTTTCCTCCTCTCTCATGTGGCAATACTAGACTGGCCCTTTGTATCAGAAATAAAGATATTCTTTTTGAAAAAATACCCACAGAAATACATCAAATTTAAATTCAGTCTGGAACCGGTGTTTCATTTGAAGTTAATTAATGATGTAATCAGGACTTGCCCAGTCTTAAGTTGGATTCCCTTCTGATATATTCCTAAGGGACTGGGAGACAGTCTTATTGAGCACCTGAACCAATTATGGTTTGATTGTGTTATATTATATTCAGTCACACTTGGAGTTAGTCTTGCTGTTCTAATTTCGTATAGTGATCTTTTGCACTGAATCTGACACAACTAGAAGTTCCTGATTCTCAAATTTAACATGTTGGGCACGGTGACATTGACCTCAGATAATCTCCAACATGGAGAGTTTTAATTGGTGTGTAGTATCTTGTCTAAATCAGACATTCTGTTACCATGGAAACTTGGGATTGTGTCCAGAAACAAACAGTGATAGCAAAACTGGCTGTTTAATCAGAAATCTACAACTATTCCTACTTTGTGCAACAGATGGACTTTCAGGCTGTGAAAGCTGTCAACAGATGCTTTGTTGTGGTGATGGGTCTATATTGGGAGCTCTCTGCAAGCCTCAGCCACAGTTGTGCTTTATTGGCAATATCGCTCATGTGCTATGAGTGTATATGATACTCCTTGAGCTTGTTCAGTAAAGCATGCAAACAATGTGAAGACCTAGCATCCATGTGATAAACATGGTTCAATCAGAGAAACATCCTGGCTTATTACATGGCAGATATATTAAACCACAAACCTACACTTGCACAAATGATTTCATCACTTATTCATTTACATGAAAATAGTAAACCCATATGTTATTTTTAATATTTATTTTCAATCCTGAGATGTCATTGTGGGTATTTTGAAAGAAAAGATGTTGATATTTATTAGCAGGAAACAAGTATTAGTTCATTGTTGCTGAAGTAAGAAACTGATTGAGTGTTAAGAAATACAGCATTTATTTCTTGTCAGCTATTTGATATTTTTTGTTTGAGAGGCATTTCTTGTTTGAAGGGCATTTTAGAAGTTGAGACTTATTAATTGACTGAATTACACCTCTTTGTTCAATGCCTCAAGGCTGTAACGTTGTCAAGCAAGAGTGAAGATGTTTCGCTTCGAGCTGAAGGTCTAACCTGACTGAATTACAGAACAAGTGTTTGATAGAACAAGTGTTTGATTGCTCTCTTATACAATTACACACAAACCAGGAAGATGTTATGTAATATGCCCTCTGCAGCTGTTGGAGATTTCATGCTTGATTACAGGTGTGTATTTTCCCTACAGCAATTGTTAATCAGTGGGTGGTTTTCCTGTCGACAAGGGTTGTGTTGAGGAGGTATTAACTGGATCAAGTTTTTAGTGATTCATTCAGTTTCCATTTACGAAGTGCAATGTTTGTATGATAAATGAAACTGGGAACAATGAGGAAACATCTTGTGTGTGTGAAACTTTATATCTCCTATTGGCTAGAGTGCACTTTACCGGGCGCAGTCCTCGCTGCTCCCTTTACGATCCTTAGGGTTAGGGTAGGGGGTATGCCACCCTTTACGATCCTTAGGGTTAGGGTTAGGCACCCTTTACGATCCTTAGGGTTAGGGTTAGGCACCCTTTACGATCCTTAGGGTTAGGGTTAGGGAACCCCAGCAGCGCTAATTAATCTGAAAAAGTGCGCCCAGTAAAGTGCAGTACTTCCCTCCTACTTACACTGGAGTTTCACTTTTCATGAAGGAATTCTGTCATGCTCAAACAGATGGTTCAGGCAGTAACAATATTTATGTCTCCAATATACAATTAGTGGTGTTTTCATCATGTTGAATATACTTACACAGCTTAAATTTGAGGAAACTTGTTGACTGGATAAACTGTTTCAGGGTCATGATTAAGTTGACTGCATGCTAAGAAGGGTTACTATTGTCAGAGATTCAGAATGAGTGAAAATAGGAATATAATTTACATAAAAGTTAGCAAGCGTGAAAAGTGTATTTTTTTAAAGTAACACATTAACCAAATAAAATAAAACATGTCTTTTGTTTAAAGTATATTTATTTCAAAGCAAATCTTTTGAAAATTAAAACTGTAATTTATCCTTGCAGCTTTATGTAGTTCTTTTGTTGTATGGAGTGGTGGGGTAGTCTTTGGGTTAAAGTGTTTGCTCGTCACGCTGAAGACCCGAGTATGATTCCCCACATGGGTACAATGTGTGAAGACCATTTCATGTGTCCCCTGCCGTGATATTGCTAGAATATTGCTAAAAGGTGCGTAAAACCAAAGTCACTTACTCTTTCGTTGTAATTAATTTAGCAATTGTGAATCTGCAGATGACTGAAGCAGTTTGACCCCAGGTGTCTTAAAAACCTATACTGAAATGAAGATGTGCAAGTGTGTAGTATCTCTATGACAATCTCAGCTGAAAGCAGGACCCCAGTAAGGCCTGGTCGCTGGTCTGTTACCCTGGCGTATCAGGTAATCGATGCAGGGAGCTTGCATTTGTAGATGTACTGGCGTGTCATTCAATACAGAAGGTATACAGGGCTCCTATTGTTCCATTAAAACACAAACTGAAAGTAAAGATGTCAAAGATACCAAGATTTCAGGTTAACTCTTACACTGTTCAACTGGAAACAATGTGAGAAATTAAGGTTCCTGATTTTATTTATAAAGTGTTTCAGTGGGTAACATTAGCACTTGAAATACAGTCAGTTGGCAATATCAAAATTTACCAGCCGAACCTGATATGCTGAAACTATTAGAGATGCTAGCTGTCTTTGAAGATAAGAGTTTTCTTTGAAAACCCAGAGCCATAAACTAAACCACTAAACCAGCATTTACACAGAATCAAAAAGGACACATGTTATTATGGGTGAGTAAAAGAAACACCAGTTATGTTACTATGGGTTTTAAATACTGTACTTTACAAGATTTCCACCCTGGTCACCATGACATCGTTGCCATATAGCTGGACTATTGCTGAGTGGCGTTAAACATCTAACACAGTAAAATACAAAAATAAGAAATTAAGTGTTAATACTGGTAAGAAAGAGAAGACAATGGTCAACAGGTATTGTTTTCTAATTAAGTGACATTTTGTTTCAACTCTCTGCCCCAAATTCACTGGGTCATTGTTTTAATAAGTCATAGCCTCTGAGATGAACTGGCATTTGCCAATGTGGAATATTAATCATTTATGAAATTACTTCTGATTGGTAGTCGTCCAATTTTGAGCATGTCTTCCCAAGGGAAGTAGGTCATTTATAATTGATGCCATTTTCTTCTAAGTGTTGGTGATGCTGACTGATTATTTTTGCGTGGAGTTTATCATTGGCCCGTCTACCTCTGACAGACTCACATTATTGATTTTGTGGAGAATTATACAAGCACCTGTCAAAAATGCCTGTCTGCAAAGATAACTTTTTCCTCAAATGGTTCTTTTTGTTTAGAGAATTAGATTAAAGGGAAGTGTATATTTGTTTGATTCCCAATTCAGCCTTGAATCAGACAGATGAAACTGCCAGTGGAGTCTGCATGATTGGGTTTACAAGATGTGAAGAAAATATGCAAACAGAAAAAAACAATGTTATTACTTTTATGAAGCTTTTGTAGACTAGAAAACTTTTTTCATGCATGTGTTGCAATAACCAGAAAAGTATTCATGGTTTTTCACAGGTTACAAGGTGGAAGGCCAAGCAGATATGCATTTGCCTTGGAATTTGCCTCCCGATATTTGCAGGATTATTGTATTATCATATCTTGCCTCTTTGAAAATTGAGAAATGGGACCTTCATTAACACGACACACCTACTGATCTCTGAGCTCAAGTGGGAGAGAAAAGTGATATTTCAGGTGTTAATATGCCTGCTGCATGCAATGTTTCACAAAGTCTGATTTACTGTCACACCCTTGTATGCAGCTGGGGATTTTTTGGGTGTTCTTGTGGTCGAAAATATGTTATACAAAAGAAAATAGGACTATAACATTATGTAACTTTAGCTCTAAGTATGGGATGCTTATGTCACAGATTGGTCTAGCAGCTGGCCAAGGAATGTGCTTAGAATATGGCAATTACGGTAGCACTTTGTTTTGGAGTCCACCATCATGGTAAGGCTGCTAAAAATACCTAAAGTGTAGTCAAGTGTGTTAAGACAAACCCTAGGTGAGGCTTTCTAAAGGAAGTCACACATCTCCAGATGATGATTTAAGCCATGGAATATGTACTTGTATGTTAACATTCAATTTGGCATTCGATATATTTTCATTCTAATGGGTCTAGCCTGTTGGGTATTTTGAAACCAGTGAGTGACCCTTTTAAAAATATACTGGGTGACGTTTAATGTGCATCTTGATGTATGGTTGTTTGATGTATAGATCACGACCACATCACAGTAGTCAGTGTGAGGGTTGCAGGAGACTCCTTGACCAGGCCTGACCTGGACATGATAGGAGCTGTATATCCAATCACACTGCCTCGTTAACCCAAGTCTCACTGGCCGTTCAAACCTTGTACATGGTTTTCAGGGGACATTCATCTCACTGACATTAATTGCCCCTGGGTTTTAACATGTACTGTTGTTGATAATGACTAGGACTAACAGGAA